CTTTGACGGAAATCTTGTGGCAAGTTTGTTGATAAAATCTTGAATATGGTCTGCATTTGTAAATGTAACAATCAAATCATCCACATAAACTAAAACAAAAATGGTTAGATGAGTGCGTTTATAAATAAATAGTGAAGTATTTGCCTCTGAGTTTATAAATCCACGAGAAATGAGAAATTGTTTCAACTCGTTATACCAAGCTCGAGGGGCTTGCTTAAGACCATACAATGCTTTCATGAGACGACAAACATGATGAGGATGCTGCGGATCAACAAATCCAGATGGTTGTGTCATGAAAACATTTTCGTGAAGCGTACCATGGAGAAAAGCATTATTAACGTTTAGTTGCCGAAGAGGCCAATCATTAGTTATAGCAAGCGTGATAATAAGACGAATTGTAGGTTGTTTAACCACAGGGCCAAAATATTCATGGTAATTGATGCCCGGACGTTGATGAAAGCCTTTAGCGACGAGTCGTGCTTTATATCTCTCGATAGAGCCTTCTGGATTTCTTTTTACATGGAAAACCCATTTGCAACCAACTAAGTTTTGACTTTGTTCAGGAGGAACGAGATCCCATGTATCATTACGAATGAGAGCATTGAATTCTTCTGACATTGCTTGATGCCATTGAGGATGTTTTAAGGCCTGCGAGAAACACGTGGGATCAATTGTCATTTGATTAGTAGTAGTGTGCAAGGAGTATTTTGGATTCGGTTTGATGATATTATTTTTGGAACGAGTTTGCATGTGATGATCGTTAATGGGGTTGGAGCTAGGGTTATAGTTTGATTCTGAAATTTTATCGTGGGGTGAGGAATATAGGGATAAAATAGGAGGTTCATAATGAAGAGAATTTGATATGGGGGTCATTTTGGAGAGTGGGGGTGGTGACTGTGGTGTTGCTTTGTACATAGTCAGCTGGTGACTTGGGTTGATCAATTTCTCGATTTAATTCAGTAGCGTGTAATGGACTTTTAGGTAAAGATGGGCTATCAAATGATTTGGAGGATGGTGAAAAATTATTATTTGGGATAGACTCAAAAGGGTTGAGGTTGTTTTGGTACTGAAAGTATAGAAATTGAAGGAGGTGGGGTGTTAGAGGTATTTATATCCTTGGGAAAATTAGAAAAATCAGTGGTATTATTGGTAGAGATCGAGGACGAGGTATTAGAAAAAGGAAAAATACTTTCAACAAAAGTGACATGCCGTGATATAAAAAAAAATTGGTGGTAGGATCATAACACTTATATGCACTTTGTGTAAGGGAATATCCTAAAAAGGTGCAAGGTTTTGACTTAGAGTCAAGTTTATTAGAAACATACGGTCGAAGCCAGGGATAACACAAACAACCAAAAATTTTTAATTTGGATAAATTAGGTGGATGGCTGAATAATTTTTGAAAAGCAGAAATCATGTTAAATTGAACCTTAGGCATACGATTAATTAAATAAACAGCGGTTTCAAATGCATGCGGCCAAAATGATTTTGGCATAGATGATTGGTGAAGAAGAGTAAGTCCAGTTTCAACAATATGTCGATGACGTCGTTATGAAAAACCATTATGTTCTGGAGTATGAGGTGGGGATGTGAGGTGAGAAATACCATTTGTAGACAAAAAAGGTGTAAGCGCTATATATTCACCACCATTATCTGTAAATAAGGTGATGATTATATTGATCGTTTAAAAAACTTTTCGACAATCGATTTAAACCGAACAAATATACTATGAACTTCAGATTTATTTTTCAATGGGTAAAACCAAATATAACGAGTGAAGTGGTCCACAAAGATGACATAATATTTAAAATTATATGTAGAGTAAATCGGAGAACTCCAAACATCAGAAAATACTAGGTCCAAATGAGCGGTGCTTGTTAAAGATGATTCAGTAAATGATAATTTGTGGCTTTTATTGCAGTGGCAGGAATTACATGAAAAACTAGAGGAAAATTTTGAAGATAGTTCCAAAATTTTAGAAGAGGCTAGATAATCAAGAATTTTAGCCGATGGATGGCCAAGACGAGAGTGCCATTGAGATGGTGAAGTTTTAATGGAGGAAAAAGCAATCAAAGGAGGATTGCCCGAAAGATGTTTTGGCCATGCATAAACACCATCTTTAGATTTCCCTTGCGCTAGAATTTGTCTTGTGCGTAGATCTTTCACAAAAAAACAATACTCTAAGAACTCAACAGATACGTTGTTATTTCGGCAAAATTGAGAAATAGAGATTAGATTCTTCTGCATATTAAGCACACATAAAACATTAGATAAATTAAAAGAGTGAGAAGAAGAGGAAAGAGATGAAGAACCCGTATGTGTAATTGGAAGACCGGTTCCATCGCCAATTAAAATATCATCAGATCCAATGTATGGTGAGTGGAGTGATAGGTTTTGAAGGTCAGTAGTAACGTGATGAGATGCACCGCTGTCCAACAGCCACTCAGAGTTTGATGAATTAGTTGGGGCAGTATAGTGGACTTGTGGTGAATGTGTTGGTACTGGTGGGCGAGGTTGATTGGTATTCCATAGTGAATATTGATAAGTAGTGCAGCGACGGGCTGAATGACCTTGTTGTTTGCAGAGTTGTCATTTTCCTAGGTATGGACGTGGGTTGAAGTTTGTTGTAGAATACGTGGTTGATCGAGGTTGTGTGTAAGAACGTTGGTGAAATGGCTGGTGAGGGTGTATTTTATAGGGTGAATATGGTCGAGGAGGGTGTGAACTTGGGGAATTTGGGTAGCGCGGTAGTGATTTATGTGTTGGATTGGCGCTAGCGGGAATTCTTAAACTTCTTGCGGCTTCAAGTTGGAGATAGGCTTCATGATTGATTAACTTTTCGTGCAATTCATCGAAGGTAACGGTCGTTTCGCGAACACGGCTTGCATCACATAGAGTTTTGTATTCATCATCGAGGCCTCCACGGATCTTGAGGATAAGATCTTCATGATTGACTGGGGCATTAAGCATGGCAAGATCATCGGCGATGGATTTCACACTTTGTAAATATTCAGTCATGGACTGGGTCCCCTTAGTGAGGATCCGTAAATGTTCTTTCAATTGGCCTATACGACCATGTGATGGTCTGGCATATGTGTTGGAGAGTATCATCCAAGCCTCGTGGGATGTTTTTGCATAAGCAATGAATGGAATCAAGGTAGGGGATAGAGAACCAGCAATTGCATTGACGAATCCAAATAGAATAATTGGGATTGGGAATTTCTCCTTCAGGAGTTGTGTATGTAGGAGAAGGACATGGTTTGGTTCCATCAATGAAACCTACTAGATCGAAGCCAATGAGAAGAGTATGAAATTGAAACTTCCAGGAAGTGTAACTTGTGGAAGTGAGTTTTAGTGATATTTGAGTACCACTGTTGATAGAGACAATGGAGTGTAATTCAGGAGAGCTTAGAATTGTGGGTGAGGTGATTTGAGCATTATCTGATGATTTGGATGTTGTAGCAGAGATGTTACTGGGATCTCCCATGGAGAAAAAAATTTGGTCGTGCTTTAGAGCTATTGGCTCTTGATACCATGTAAAGGATAAATAGAGGATATCATATGTTGTAAAATATTCTTTTTTTGTATATATTTCTTTGATAATGAGTAGCTATATATACAATTGAGAAATTATTCAAACGACTATAATTTACATAATAATGGAAACTATATCAATCTCATAAGTGAGGGATTTGATTGAGGATTTCCCGATAATCAAGGATATGCCTTTGATTTTGATTCCGTATTATTTTCCTTATTATTACGTAGGAATTTACTGTGTTTTAATATTGCACCGCCGATGAAGAAGAACGCCATGACCATGAAGGTTGCCATGCACAATCTTATCTTTCGTTGCACTGTGGAATCTTCCCCTATTATATAAATCGGGAAGATGGTGCCGGCAGCCAGACCGACGACAGCCCAGAGAAGAAGCATCAGAGTGTGGTCGCCCACCGGCCTCACTGCTGCTTGGAAGCGCTGCAGCGGCGAGACCAGTTGTGTGCCGGCGGTGACGGTCGAGTTCGTGTTGGTGTTGGCAGCCTCTGATGAGCTAGCGGCGATCTTTGGTGGTGTTTGAGTGATTGTAGAGACGGCCGCTTCTGATGTGCCGGCGCTGGCGGCGGTGAGTGTTGTCTTTGCGCCCTCCATTCGGTCGGTGGGTTGTGTGTGAGTTGTTGTGGTCGTCGGAGAGTTAGCGTAGAGAGAAGAGAGGGGAGAGAGAGAATTGAAAGCTGATCTGACAGGGTTGAAATGATGTGTTTTAAATAAGGCAGACTTTTGGATTTAGGGTTTTCGATGCATTATAACCTTCCAAAAGTATTATTATATTATACTCTCTTCATTTAGGGTTTTCTACTTCCCTTTTTTTATTTTTTTATTCTTGTATGTATTGTTGAAATTTAATTTAATTACAAGAAAATATCTAAGTAACTTTAGTTTCAAGATTGTAAATAACATCGTGACAAACCTCATGTGGATATAATTTATAATTTATACATACATTTAGTTGAGTCATGTAACGTAAATTGGTATAATTTGTACGTAGCAATGTATTTTTTTATCGGTTAATTAATTATTATGTTCTTTTTTTTTTTGAAGAATTATTATGTTCTTAATTATCACCATTATCATTTTAATCATTAACATAACAAGTATGACCAAATGAACTCATGCTTCTAGCTTTATTTTATTTTATTTTATTATTTTATTTTACATTAAAAGCAATCAAAGAATTAAGTACTCGTTTGGGCTCATTACCAAATGAACAGATCTAATTTCATCTTTAGCTCAAATAGCAACGATTATATATATTATTTATCGTGTAAATTTATATATAAAAGTAACAAACGCTAGGTAATCTAAGAAATCCTAATGGTATATTTATTATTATTTTAATATTGTTGTAAATAATATGGAATGTGTGGTTTCCTAACTTAACCACTTTGAGGGTCTTTTCAACCTCCCACTAGTGTAAACTTCCCACACCTTAGTCCCATGATGTGTGTAGGAAATAACTTCCATGGAACTTCCATTTGTAACTCCTCCTTGTAACTTCCGGTGGCTTACACCTATATTAATGAGAAAAACTCCCTCCCCATGGATACCCACTATTTTCTCTCTACGGATTGTTGTTCTTTGCATTCTCTCATTCTCTCTCTATTATCGTTATTATGTTCTTATGTATTTCCACAATCACAAACAAAATAGCTACATAAATAGGCCATTTTACAACACGTTATCAGCACGAAATGCTCGTCGTGATCGTGGAAAGACAATCGTTCGTAGGACTAGAATACTTGAAGAATTTGTGATTCTGGTGCTCGTGAAAAATGAACCATTTTTGGCACGTGGATGCTTAAAGAACTTGTGATTCGAGTTCGTTCGTGAAATGGTAATCTTGTTCGAAGAATACAATATATTCTTCAACATTTGGGTTTAAGCGTTTCAAGTAAGCCGTAATCCCTTGCAATTTCGATTTCATAAGAGATGCACTAGATCTATTTAATGGCATGAAATGCATGAAGTACATATTTATCTTCAAGTCATTACTTCATTTATACTGTGGATAATTTCAAAATATGATGTGATTCGTAATTATTGGAAGCATGCTTAATTATGTTATAGTATGGTATAAATATCACAATGATTGTTTTTGGTATGTGGTGTAGCAAATTATTTTATCATTTGCATTCATTCCGGATTCAATGAATAGCGACGATAAATGTGTGATTGTATATTGTCAAATGATTATAATACCTTGCTGGTTTATTTCATGTTTCGAGGATTTGATATGAAATTGTATTATGAATGTTTTATCATAATATTTAGAATACAGTGCACTAAGAAGCTTATGAATAAATATGCACTGTAGAATATTTGATGATGAATGTGAAATTGTTTATGCTTCTTACTGAACGTGATTGTAGCCATATTAATAGAATTTTTTTTTCTCGGTTGAATTTGTATTGCATGAATTGTTAGAAAATTTTGCTACAATAACTTGGTCATTTCATTTTGAGATGATCTAATGTTCTGCTGATATTTGATAGCATTATGGATCTATATTTAGTTAATTCATGATTACCTACCGGAATAATTTCAGAATAAGTTCGTGGAATTTATATGAGATTGTACATGCTATATATTGTTTATATTATTTAGCATGTTATATTTTATATATTTGACAATTTACAAAGTCTTAATTGCATGAAGATTTTGGTCCATGTCTAATGGAGAATTCTATTCAACTTATTGCAAACACAAGACATAAAATGCAAGCATATCCAGTACACAACAAAAAAAACAGTTGAGTCCTAAACTATCAAAATTATTTTACTTTTTTAAATTCTTAATATATTTATTTTAAACAAATATATATAGTGAATAACTAATTAATTAATTATATATAATATAGATAGTACACACTTTGGATAACACATGTTTAGGCCTTGTTTGATTGCTCTTAATGACCCTCTTAATCACTAATTTGCTGAATCGGTAAGCAATTGGAATGTTAAGTGCGTTTGATATTAATGACTGAATGGTTCCATGATGCTCTTAACTATTCAGTCCAAAAGTTGGTGCTGACCGAACAAGTGCTACATCTGAATCAAATTTACACATAATTATCCTTTAGAAAACTCATATATTCCACATTAATCTCAGGTAATATCCCAACACACTATCACTTTTCTGCGCAACTTCCAACTTTTTTTACTCCATAAATAAGTTCTATCCTTTTTTCTTTCATTTATCTTAATAAAGTCTAATTATGTTTTAAAATAAAAGGTAATTAAAATATATTTTATTCGTGTCAATTTTAGTGAATTTAGTATATTTTCATATTTTAAGTTAATAAGTTTTACTATTACTACCTTTAGTTGCTTAGAGATTACTTTTTAAATTTGTTTGACTTTTATATTTCATATTTATATTATAATAATGTTAAATACTTGATATTTAAAACACATAGAGATGTTAATGTCTGCCCAAATTTCATAATTTGTTGATTAAGTTAATCATGCTAAAAGAATTATATTTATACATATATCATATATGTTGCTCATTAACAAATACTACAGTATTTGACCAAGGATATATCGGTAAAATGTTATTATTCAGACGGCAGAATTTCAGCTATCAAATGAGCTTAATGATTCAACATTCAGTATCCAGGCATAACTCTTAGTCATTCAGATATGTATTCAGCATTCAGCATTCAGCGCTTAGTGTTATCAAACACAGCCTTAGTGTCGCTAAGAAAGAAGGATACGATGTGTAATTTTCCACTGGAAATAAAGTTGTTGAGTTTGTACCCGACCGATGAAATAGGACATGCTCATTTGACCACGTGGCTGAATTTCATTGGCCACTGGCTCGACAAAGTACCTTTTAATCGCATCCACACATTATTTCTTGGGGACTAATTCACATCCCCTCAGCCGTTGGATCACACCAAACAGAATTCTTGCCTACGCGGCCTAGATCAGTAATTCCAGAACTTTCAATTATTTATTTATTGTTTCTAATGCAGTGCTTTGTTTTATTTTGGGTTCTATTTTTGTAAATGAAAAGATTTTAATTAGCTGATTATATATAAGTAATTTAAGCTCAAAAATCTAAAGTTAATGTAAATAAATAGGTTGTCTTTAAACATTATTTTAAGCTATAACTACCAACACAATTGTTTCAGGATAAGAATTTGGCAAAGTGAATAATTAATTTTTACAGAACCGAAGGCAGCTAAATATTTTTAATTTAATGCTCAGTTTTACTAATTCCTGAATACTTGTGACTTATATAATTTATGGTTTATGTACAAATATAAATAAATATTTAACTCTAGCATGCAGGTGATAAAATAAAAAAAAAATTATCTAAATTTGTTACACTTTTACACCCAACACTGCACAAGAAAATTAAATGAAGTTCTTTTGGAGGACAAAAATGCTAAATAAATAAAGACTTGCATTAAATTTATTTGAAATGTATTTATTAATAGAATATCTCCATTTAATAAATGAAAAGACTGCAGCAAATATTCCTTGTCAGATCTTTTTTGAAAAATTACTTCAAAATAGGTGACAATCTTTTGATTTGAAATGACTTGGGCTTTGTTTATTAAGCTTCATAAATAATTTTTACACCTTTTTATTTCCAAATTTTCAATTTATTTTCAAACTTAAGCTTTAGAAATTCTGAAAATATATGAATACATGATTTAAACGATACAATATGTATGCACAATGCATTATTTTGTTTCTAACATCATCTTCTCTAATAAGGCCTCCTTTCATTGGGAGATGGATTAGCCACTATTAATTAAATGATTTGACTTTATTTTGATGTTTGGTAAATTTAATAATCTTTTGAGTCTATAAAAAAAAAATTATATTAACTATCAACCTTGCAAGAGATTATTTATTGGATCTACTATAGCCAATGTTTTAAATTGAATTTTATGAATTATATAATTTTATCTTAACTAATCTTATATAAAATTTGTGTCCCACTCTACAATTCAAATTACAAACAACTTTGGCAAAACACACTTCACACCCTCAAGAAATCAAGTTTTTGCACTAAAGCCTCTACAAACATAAAATTAACAACTTGCTCCTTGAAAATACAGAAGGTATTGCACATTGCAGAAATTTTGGTAGAATAAAGTGTTTGGAAGGGTATTTTTGTCAATTACACCTAATTTTCCATTGCACGATGATAATCGGGCTATTAGATGCGAGATTTTAATATTTTATTTTTCGCCGCCACCATAAAATGTATTTTTACAACAAAATGGTAATGAAAAGTTTTTCGAAACATAGCCATTGTAGTTTCAAATTCGACGGAGTTATTTTCACAGGTAGGTACGTACATTCGACAGGTAGCCTTTGTGTGTTTCTACAAGTAACACACAAAACTCATCCTACATAATAATTTATCACCCACAGTCCAACTTTAAGAACAAGTTCCTTGTTGATCCATCATATCCCCTCTCAAGCCTGGGATTAAAGTGTTTCTTGATAACACGATCTACACGGTTTACGAAAAAGTCGGAAATTATTTACAAGTTCATATAATCACCCAAATTTGCACATGCAAGTTTCAATCCAACAGAGATAGATAGAAAGTAACGGGAAAAATCACTTACTTTAAACCGGAAAGGAGATGCTAGAATTTTAACTTGTAAAGAAACAAACGGTTTCTTAACATTCATGTTATAAAAACTTCCTTTTAAATGCAAGTATTTCTCACTCTCTATTTTGTACATTTGTCCTAATTTTGTTTTATTTACAAAAACAAATTGTATTTGTAGATCCAACTTAACTCTTATATTCTTCACACCAATTTGTAGATCCAACTTAACTCTTATATTATAAGCCAACTCTAAAAACAATAACGGGCAGCGTTCTTTCAAGTATCTACGTCCTTCACAACTCATGACATCTGAAATATTTCACACCAAATAATTGTCAACACTGGAAAAACTAATTTTAAGTAAAGTTCTTACAAATCTCTTAGTAATAATTACGCAAAATTAAAACTGAACACAGCATAATGCAAGACTTTTCTAAACCATTTTTAACAACAACCGGATACAAAATTCAGTAGAAACAGATAGGATAAAAAGTCAACAACGTACCTAATATACCAGCTCCATTATCAGCTCCAAATCCGAGACACGCGTCTTTCAATTCTTTAGCATGACAACGTTCAGCTAAATGTAAAATATATGCAATTGAATCTCCGGAAATTCTTTTAGAAATGCTCAATTCACAAATATTTTTAAGTCTTTTCAACTCAAACCGATCGGCTGCAGCTAGCATCTTCCCTATAAACGATTCAAGCATCGAATGACCAATATCACTGTCGTCATGCTCTTCGTCCGAAAGAGTTCCTGTGTACAGAAACCAGAGCAGGGCCTACAACATGAAAGTAAAAGAGCCATTAAACTCGTGTCATGAGAGGACTATGGTGACAAAACCTCAAACGAGACGGAAGAAAAAAAACTGAAGAAATCCAAGATTGTTTACGAGGTTTATAAAATCAAATAAATCAGGCAATGAAAAAAAAGGTGCAAATCAGAAAAATAACATTTCAGATTGCTTATATCATCAGCAATGCAAAGGTTAAATTAAGGAGCATGGCACAAGTTAGAACTTGAGCACACAGAAGTAAACCAAAAGGAAACAAATATAGAAGTAAGCATATAAAAAGCAGACATATTTCAATCAAGAACAAAACTTAACAAATCAAAAGGCGAGGAAACCTTGAATATGTTAGGCTCCATATATGTAACTTCGATCTCGTAGTTGCTATCTGAAACCTGCGACAAGAATTGAGGACAACGAGCAGCCAATATCCGCTTATGGGCGCAGAAACTCTTGTTCTTCACTCTAAAGAACACATCTGCCCTTTGCTTGCTGCGCAATAATTTGCCGAAATCTGCTCCTATATTGGACTCCGGAACCTTGATAAGAGGGAGATTATGGATTCGACAAGTGAAGACTTCAATAGTAACACGAATTTTTAAGCAATCATCTTTGAGATAGTCAGGACAATTAAGAGAAGATCGCCTTATGAAGAAATTGCGTCCAATCACACGATCCCTTTCAAAATACATAATTTTAGAATTATCGAAAAAGGACAGACCTTTATCATTTCCTTTACCAGATTGATCCATGAAGTGAGCCGAATACAGACACCCTACTGCAATGGTGGTCTGGTTCTTCAGATGTATGAACAAAGATGATACCCCATCTCTGTTGGCATCAATGGTCTTTCCACCAGGATAAATCGAATGGTCCATCCGTATCCGCCGACGATGAATTCTTCGCTCTCAATTGCCCCGCCCACGCCGATTCCTTCGTGGAGGGAGTAGTTCTTCACCACGAACAGGTGAGACCCCTTCTCCATACCTCTCACAGTTGCCGAAGCTGACTCCGAAGCAAAATCCTCCTCTTCCATTTTCTAATTTAGTGGCAATTGAATATGACGCGGCGGCCGGAGTAAGGTGGCGCGGCCAATAGTCACGGTTGATTTTGCCCTAACCGTTTGTCTTGGATTGGGGATTTTCTCTAGTATAAATTTTAAATTATTGCCTTAGACGACGTCGTTTTAGTCTTGGAACCCCAGTTTTTATTTTATTTTTCTTCCTGATTAATTAGTTCTTAAAAACAGTGAACTTAACTAACTGCTTTTGTTAGTGATCTGAATGACAGAAATTCTCATTAGTCACATGGTTTTCAAGATATTATATATACTACTCCCTCCATGCCAAAATATGTGTCGCTTTGGGTTGTTGCGCACATATTAAGAAAACTAATAAATGTGTGTCGATTTTAGAGAAAATTATATATAATGACTAAAATATCCATGTTATTAATGTTGTTTTCATTAATTCTCAGTCAATTATTGAATAGTAATAAGGGTAAAATTTAGAAAATAGTAATTAATGCATCATTGAAGTTTTAAAGTGACAAATAATTTAAACAAGAAAAATCCCTCAAAGCGACAGTTAATTTGGAACGAAAGGAGTAATTACGCGCTGATTAATCAATTTACATTTATGATTTCAGATTTCAAGAAGCACAACAATGGATATATACATAGGATATTCAATATTACAACGACGACCCGAATAAAATTTCAATCGGGCCGAGGAATAAACATATACCAAAACCGAAACCGAAAGATTATGAAGCGTGTTAAACTATGGTTCTAATCTACGGTTAATGGCACTTAATCTGCTTGGGATTATGCATGTGAGTTGCACATGCATTTGGTCACGTGAGCTGCACATGTAGATGGTAGGTGGAGCTGATTCTTGGAAGAAAAGAAAGAGCTCTAATTGGCTGATATAAGCGGAAGGCACATGGGATCATGTGCCTCGGTTGGGCTATATATAGCATCATATCTGCTGTGCTAAAAGCAACGTGAGCAACACTAGAGAGAGAGTGCATTACACTGGGAAACACGAGAGTAAGAGAGAGAGTGAAACTTCTTTCGGGTTTGGGTAGGGTTTCCGTTAGATCTGAGCTGGTTTGTGCTCATGATCTGATCTTATTGTTGTGTACGTGTAATTGATGTAATCTCTGGATATAGTGGATTGGAGTGTGCTGCTCCCGGGATGTAGAACTCACACCGAGTTCGAACCTCGTAAAATTGCTCTTGTTCATTAATGTTCTTCTTTGATTACTGTGTGTGTGATCTGTGTGCATGAGCGTGTGTATTGATTTTATCCAGAGATTACAACAAAGCGCAACTTGTTTTAGCTTGAAAATTGAAAGCCGAAACCCGGGAATTCGTTAATAACTACAACTTTTATTTTGAGGTTAAAGCAATTGAAATTAGGGCAAATTACGGTATGTTTACATAAAATTTATGTAATTCGACCAAATCGTATATTTAGTTCGGTAAACGGTACGAAATTTTGGTGTACCGAAATTTCAGTTCGGTTTTACCGAATTAATATCCATAAATTTAACTCTAGAAGAATCTTTTCGTAAGATAATACATAATTGAGAAGGTGGCTGTAATTATTCAAACAGAAGGGGTTCTAATAATTTGACCATAAATCAGGGATCACCGTAATTTGCCCTTGAAATTAAAGATTAAAAATGTTGGATTTTCAGTACTAGAAAACAATGTATGAATGAATAATACATGCATGTAATGTATGTATTAGTTTCTTGGCTTCAATGATCAACTTCAAGTGCTATACCTCTGCAAAGTGGGCATAGATTCTTTCTTTGCAGCCATTCTTTAATGCAATCAACATGGTACTCGTGCCCGCAAATCTCGAGCTTCGCAATAACCGTCTCGTTTTTGTCCGAACCGCAAAGTTGACCTAAACAAACAGCGCACACACTTTCATGATCCCCGACAACCGCCCTTGTTCGTAGTTTCTCGGATATTACTTGCTCCGATAATCCGTTACCCGGTTTCGAACCGGATACTGTTTGCTCGAACGATCCACGACCCGATATCGCAACGGATAATATTTGCATCATTAATCTCTGCCTCTCTTCAAGTGACAAACTCATGAATTCCCTCATTGCTTCTAATAATCCGGTCAAAGTTTCCGTATTGGATGTGGGTATTCGGGTTGACCCGGATCCATTGTTGTTTGTGACTGGATCCTCGTCGACTGTGTCCATAATCGTATGTATTGATTGAAAACAACCTTAATAAATCGAATTCCTATGTCTTTTTTTTTTTTTTTAATTTCTCTTTCTAGGGTTTACTTGTAATATATATAGGGCTCCGGTTTTTTTGGGAGATAGAAGGATTGTAGTTCGACTTAAATTAGTGTTTTTATTTTCTTAATTACCCTTTTTTATTTTATTTTATTTTTTGAGGAAAGGAATTATCCTTATTGAATTTGTAGGTTTTGACTTTTGTTAATTATAAAATTAAGTAAATTATACAACATGTTTTATGCAAAATTAATTTATTCGTGTAGAACTCAAATTATTTTATAAATTAAGTCGAATACATTTATTGAGCTGCTTAGATGATTTTTTTTTAATTCCCAAATTTTAATAGATTTGATTTATTGACGTATTAAAACAAATGATTTTCTAAAGTAAAAATTTATATAATTTATTTGGACTAATTATTATATGTAAAAAAAATATAAATAATTTGAAAATTTGAACCAACTTCCATCTCTACTGTGATTTTTTGCGTTGCAAAAAACAAATACACAAAATACTAAATATAGGAAATACTTGCAGATATTTAAAAAGACTAGGAAATAAATAAAAAGAGTAGAATTTAAAATCCCAATAGTTCATATAGATGATACTAAAAAAATAGAAAGAAAACTAGGAAAATTAACATGATTACAATATATGAAATAAACATAACTAGTTTCTTAGTCCTCTCAATTGCGGTTGATCATTTTTTTGCGCACGCATTCGGACATTTGAAGTTTTTCGATTGTTTCATCTAAAAATAATTCCAAGTTATGTAGCTCGAAACCAGACGAGTTAAAAAAAATCGTCGAGGCACAACCAATAGAGAAGAAGCTAACTCGACTGGAAATCCAAGAAAAGTCTCAATTTGTGCAGAAGAAGCTCGTTAGTTCCATAAAGAGGTTTACCGCAAACGATCCAATCTTTCTCAAGAAGTCCCGCTTTCTCACTGTTCATCATCTCATCGTGAAAAGCAGAAACGATCGAGTAAATCGAAGTTCTAAGTGTATATCTGCCAATGAAAACGCTTTGGCATAAAGAGGGCTCTTTGTTGTCCCCACCACTTCCGGAAACTAATAGTCCGTTAAAACTCTATCGGAATAACGTATCCAGTGCATTATCTCTTTAGAGTTTCTAACTATGTTTCAAGGGGGTGATGTAATTATCGATACCACAGGAACCTTAAAGTTATTTCAGTACATCTCAGGGATGCAAGTGTAATTCACCCATATTATTATTATACACGTAATCTTAGAGAATAATAGTTAGGTGTCTCATATTACTAAGTTCAATAATCTCATTTTTATCAACCGGGCCTAGTTTAAGTAGGTCGTGTATTCAACTTTTCATAGAGGATAGACATTTAATTTCGAAAATTTGAATGAAAAAACGTGTTGCAAAATTGGAAAAATTTCGAATCTTAATCAGCGGAATTCAAAATTTTCCAAGTTTTGGTCACCTAATATATATAGTACATAACAATATTGGTATTATAAGAGTAATATTTGAAAAATGAATCAAATTTTTTGGAGCATAAATCGAATCGGAAATCGGAATCTCATATATATTTCAATTTCGATAAAAAAGTTGGGATTCTTTATTTGTCACTTTAGGGCATTCTGGCTGTTCCACACTATGCAGTTAGCCCAACTTTCACTACATAAATACTAATAAGATACGAATTAAGCAATAATACGTGTTCTTGATTAATTTTAATGAATTGTTTAACTTATATAGTTTTCATGGGAGCAACAATTTAATTTAGTGGCTTTGCGATGGATTCCACTATCTATTTTTTGTCTTCAGAAAGTTAATCACCTCATGCCACCCATTCTCCAAAAAAAATATTTAAAATTCCACCCAAATGAAAAATAATTAAGAAAAAAATGAATATTTTATCATAATTCCACTTTACATCCTTGAAAAATACTATTTTAATATTTTTCACCCTCAAAATCAATTAATAGCACTTTACACCCTAGAAACACAATAAGTCATGTATAATGTACCCCGAATGAATTATTAAAAAAATTAGTGATATTTCTTTAGGATGTCAAATGTCAAATCAATTTTTTTTATTCATCAGTCATTTTGAAATTATAGAGTGCATAAATAAAGATAAATCTCATCAGTCTATGGAAAAAAAAATCGTTTATTTGTCAATTCAGAGTGCATTGTGAATGATTTATTGTGATTTGAGGATGCAAAAAACTATTATTGTTTTTCGAGGGTGCAAAGGGGGGTTATGCCTTAAATAAATCATCAAAATGCAGCAATATAAACTTTTCAAATGTAGTCAATTTATATAGTTTAATTGTCTAATACTTATTCCAAAAGTAACCACGAACAAAATAATACAAAATCATAAGCTGAAATATATCGATACAGCGGCACAATTTTATATTTCTAGGGGCCAAAAATATATATAACAAATTTATCTAGGGGGCAACAGTATAAAATACTCGCTAACAATTTTTTGTATAAAATAGTAATTTTTCCATACATTATAATTTCCTCCCCACCTAACTCCATATGATTGTAAAAGAATCCCTTAACTTTTAATTTTAATTTATTGAATATTTAAGCTTTGATCCCCCTGAATTTTTTAATTAAAAATGCATCCTTATATATAGTCCCCTTTTATGGAACTCATGCTATTTATTTCAAAGGACTCATCATAATACAATGAAGTTGCTTTTCCATTTTAGAATATTGAAGGCATTGAGATTCATAATCTTTGCTATAGTTTTGCACATTGCGAATTCTTCCGATTTCGATGAGCTCTTCGAGGCTGATTGGGCACCCGATCACATAGTTGCCTCTCAGACCGACCAAATCGCGTTATCTCTCGATTCTTCCACGGGTACGCAAATTAATCATATTTAATTATACTTTAATTTTTCATAACTATATACGTAATATTTTTTTCCGTATTTAATTTATATTAGGATGCGGATTCGAATCCAAGAAAAAGTACTTATTCGGCAAAGCCAGTGCTCAAATAAAATTAGTTCAAGGAGATTCAGCTGGAACCGTCCTTGCTTTTTACGTAAGTAATGCAAAAAAAAAAAATTGTCCGATTCTTATCATAAAATGTGATATGATCGATAATTTGAAATGCAGATGGCATCGGAAGGGCCTAATCACGACGAGTTAGACTTTGAGTTTCTTGGCAATGTTTCGGGAGAGCCGTACATTGTGCAGTCAAACTTGTACATTAACGGCACCGGAAATCGGGAGCAGAGGCATTATCTTTGGTTTGATCCGACCGTTGATTTCCATACATACTCCTTCTTCTGGAATCGTCGATCCATCTTGTAATTATTAATTATTCTTTTTTCGCAATTAACAACTCTTTAAATAAATCTCTCACATGCATCCCATTAACACTATAAAGCATCAATTATTTGTTTCAATTACATTCTTGTCTTATTATTTAGTTTTATTAGATCATTTCATATAATATGCCTTAATTTAAATATAATGCCAACTTTAAAAATAAAATAAATTTCATATTGTAAATTGTTGTATATATATGTACATATATGGTAATTAATTAAAGTACGTATTTGCATGCATGCATGCAGATTCCTTGTGGACGATATTCCGATAAGAGAATTTACAAACAAGGAGAGAAAACGGGTACCCTACCCGAAAACCCAAGCAATGGGGATCCACGGATCTTTATGGAACGCCGACGATTGGGCTACACAAGGAGGTCGTGTGAAGACCAATTGGAGCAACGCCCCTTTTGTAGCGACGTTTCAGTCGTTCGAGATCGATGCATGTGGACTTTCTGCAGATGAAATCGATATCGATCCAACTGTAAAATGCGGAAAATCGGGGCAGTTCTGGTGGGATAAGCCGGTGGTGAGAGAGGTGAACAAGCAGAGAAGAAAACAACTCAAATGGGTTCGTGATAATTTCTTGATTTATGATTATTGTGGTGATGTTGCTAGGTTTAATTCTGAGGGTTTGCCTAAAGAATGCCATTAGGGTTTGGTTAATTTTGTGTTTTGTGTGTGTGTTTTGACTTTTGAGTATGCTTATGTATTAATTAATAATTAGTATGTGTAAAATTATTGGATTAGCGTTAATTGTTTGGGTTTGGTATGAAAATTTCGGGTGTTGTACTAGATTGTTTCGTTAATTATTTGATCGATAATTAGTTGACTTTAAATTGAAATGCATTTACATATATATATTCTTTGAGCTAATTGTAGTTTTAATATTATGAAACATATACACATAGTGTCAAATTCAACAAATCTAGATTCCGTGAAATGTTCACTAGTTTGTACTCGTTTTGTGCTAAAATGCAGTTTTTGATGCACCACAATCTGATATATATATATATATATATATATATATATATATATATATATATATATATATATATATATATATATATATATATATATATATATATATATATATATATATATATATATATATATATATATATATATATATATATATATATATATATATATATATATATATATATATATATATATAAAAAAATATATATATATATATATATATGTGTAAATATGGGTGTGTGTGTAAAAATATATATATGTGAGGGGTGTGTGTAAATACACGCGCGAGAGGCGGTATGCTCGAATGGGATAAAACGGGTACACAATCAAGATATTCCATAGAAATCTCGAAGATTCCATTAAATTTGAAATCGCAAGGCTGGACGTGTAAGAAGATTTATAGTTGAGGGGTGGTTGTAATTACCCAAGCAGGAGGCGGTATTCGTAATTTGACCATACCTCAGAGGCAGGGGCGGTACTACATAGGGGCAGGGGGGGCAGTTGAGCCCCCAAGAAAAAAAAAAAAAAAAAAATTTTGCTGTTTTGGCATAATATTTTTTTAATATTACTTTTGCCCCCCCCCCCCAAAGGTTTTGTAAATATGCATTTTAACCCTTAATTGTTTTGTTTATTCTCCACAATTTTATATAAATTATAGATTAATATAAAAATATAAAATAAAATGGTTAAAACTTGTACTATTTTAAATAAAATTTATGAATATTTACTTATCGATCTTTAATTTTTTATATCAATATCTCTAAAAAATAATACGAGACGTGCCATAAATCCCATTAAGTGCAATATATTATTAGAATAATTTAGATTTTTTTGTCATACTTGAAATATGATAAAATTATATATATATATATATATATATATATCATTTTAATTAACAATTCGCAGTATAAACCTATTTTTTTAATGTTTGGTGAATCTAAAAAAAATTTCGGGGCGCTGCCCCGAACTCCGAAATTTTAGTCCGCCCCCCTACTTTCTAATCCTGGTTTCGCCCCTGCTCAGAGGGTTGGTTTTAATTTACCCTATATCTATTTTAATACAGTTAACGAAATATTTTTTAACATGTTGTCGTTGAGTAGGGACTGAGTAAACATAATATTTAAACGATAATATTAGGTACTAATTTATTCGATGTTCTACTGTAGTCCATTCTCTATTTTCCAAATTACTACCAAAAGAACATTCCGTAATACATACTACCCATAAAAGAATTATTTAATATGAAAGAAAGACGCATTCCACTAGCAAGCACTATCCAATCCAAACGATAAATTTGATCGGATACTTGCATTTGAAAAAAAATTAAATTATGGCCCCCCTTAGGGAAAATTAAATTATGAAAACCTCCCTCATATTTGGGTAGGTACCATTACCCCATCCAATAAGAATCTTCTTATATGGACCTTCTTCCCAAATTAGATTTAGGAAAATCTTCTAGATTATGCCGGAAAATTATCCAATTGGGAAACCCCCCAATTAGAACCCGCCCCCGGGCCGGGTTCGGGCCCGGTTCAGGCGCCGGTTCCGGGCCTAAAACCGGCCCATGACCGTGTCTACACCCAACCATGATGGTGGTATGGTTTCTCGTCGGTGTGATCTGCGCACCGATTTCCCCGTGGTTTATGATGACGCACAAGCACGATTCTGGAGAAACGTATGTCCCCGGGTTCACTAGCCCGTTATTGCTGTGTTTGGAAATGTTTTTTTTTAATTCGGGTGAACCGCCGGCCTGGCCCGGCAGTTCACGGTTCACCATTTCATAGAACCGGGCCCGTCCCGGGAAGACGGGTCGGTTCACCGATCAACGGGTTGGGCCGGGTCGTCAACGGGCCGGTTCCGGGCCTAAAACCGGCCCATGACCGTGTCTACACCCAATCATGATGGTGGTAGCGATTTCCCCGTGGTTTATGATGACGAACAAGCACGATGGCGGCGGTGGTGATTTTGCCGTAAACAAGAAGAACATTCACCACTATTGTGCCTCCTTCTATGGAGTTAATTACCACTGTTGTACTCTTTTACACACTCGGCGCGTGCTTGAAGAACACTCCACTGTTGCGCGTGCGGTGCGACTGGAGCCGCGCACTTTACTGCAACTTCTTCGCGACCCTCGTCACCATTACGGTGACAATAGAGCACAAAATCTCAGAGAGTACTGACGTGGCGACGCAGATGCTGGTCTCCGTTTCGGTGTTCTGTCTGATGGAAATATCCGGCCGATGTTTGACTACGGCATCTTGCAGTTGTTCCTCCGGCTCCCAATACAAAGTGCAGCAGCGTGTCTTTATAATGAAAAGGGCCGATGTTTTATTGGGTGGGTGATGGGGTTTTTTACTAGTTTCGTATATGGGGTTCTAAACTCATATGAGATATGCTTCGTCACCATTAGCTTTGCAAGATCTTACGATTTACGATTCGCAATTTTGACAAAATGATTTTCGATTCGATTCACGATTTGATAACCATGCTAATAACGCATTTTATTGTTAAAGAGTCGTTATTAATTCTGAAAAATACTTTCGTTGAAGGAAAGGAACAAATTTGCACGTATAATCACATTACCACGTAATATGCACGTGATTTGCACGCAAATTTAATCGGATAAAGTTATTAAATTATCCTATTCGTTAAAACTTGCAAGTGATAACTGTGACTTCGTTATGAGAAATCAAAAGTTGGCCGAGAAATCTCCATGAAGCATAAAACGGAAATGGACACACCAAAATCTGAGCGGTCACGTTGCTTTGATAAATATTGTGCTCCATGGTGACCGTCAGAGATATCCTGTGTTCTAAACTCATATGAAATATACTTCGTCACCGTTAGTTTTGCAAGAAATAACATGGATGGTGTTACAATTAATTGGGGGTTGAACTTGGGACATTTTAATACATTCAACGTTGTTGACCATTGGGCCGCATTAACTTATAAAAACACTTTTAACAATCATTTTATATATTGGTAAGACACACTTTATAATGTAAAGTGGTAATAAATATAAGTATTTAAATAATATTAAATAGAATATCAAATCGACATTCATTGTTATAATAATGTTAAATAAATTATTAACAAATTTAAAATAATATTGTTTAAAAAATATAAAGAACTGCGGTTTAATATCCTAAAATCTATTATTAATTATATAATATTCATGAACTCCACTATTGGAAAATATAAAAAATAATCAATTAAATATAAACAAATGCATGACTTAATACAACCTCACTTAGGTTATTAAATTGATAGTGTGACAAATCTGAATAAAAAAATAAAATAAGATGTTCATTTAGGAAAAAAAAAATAGAATATAACTCATTCCAATTAGTGTTCTAACTTTAAAATAAAACTATATACCCAAAATACTATATTGTGTTTTTCTTTTTATATTTGATTTAACCAAATAGTAAGATTTGAATTGATTAAGCTCAAATTCTTTCAATACAAGTTCCCGTTGCTGCTCAACGAAATGAACGACTACATTTCCAAAGAAAGATTGTCATTGCCTCCAAAGAAGATAGCTATTCAATGACTGTTTGTACTAGCGGGCGTTGTCTAATACTGTCGATTATATGTTATTTCTGTAAAAATAAAAAAACAAAAAAACAAAAAAACAAAATTCTATTAGTTTAGAGAATTACTAAACTATCGAATTTAGCACGTTGTCACCAAATCAGGTCTGAGAAAAAATATTAGTTAAACGAATTTATTAATATATCGAGATTCTACTGTTGTACATTCCAAGGTCATGCTCATTCATTTATTACGTTATGTCATTTTTTTATTATACTATTTCGTTCGTAATTTTTTTCGGATTAATTCTAACAAACATGAAAAATTGAATTTTTTTGAATACAAATTTGATGAAAATCGAAAATTCTATTCCGATTTCCATATTATAAATAAACAGACTATTCTCTTCTCCCCAGACCCAATTCGGCCCGCGTTTCCGTTGACGTTGAACATTTCTTTTCTCTTTTTTGGTCAACGCTTAAACAGGTCTCCATGCAGGAATAAGTCGCCCCAACTCTGTCTATAAATACCTATGATCTCAAGATATTCATATATCACACAGATTAAAACAGAAAAAGCGAAGACAAAAAGGAAAGAAGAAACAAAGAGATACATATAAATATTATTACACACACAAAACACACAGTAGATGGGTTCCAATATGTACAGCAGATATGCTAAAAAGGGTAGCGTTGTCCCGAAAAGAAAGGTGCATGTTTCTACAATGATGGGCAAAACTATTCTGAAAGCCGTTAAGTCTGCTGTTAGTGCCGTCAAGAACCACTGCGACAAAGGAAAAGTTAATCCTGATAATTAATTAAGTACCAATTAATTGATGATTAGATTATCATCTAGTGTACAAGATGTTGGCGTAGTACAGTTCAATTCGCAGCTGCTGTATGTATTAATAATTATATTACACATTTATTTTACTTGTACTAAGATTAATTAGACTTTCGCATCTGGTAGGTAAAATCCACCACAATTTAGTCATTTTGTCTACAAAAAAAAATACCCAAAACAAATTGCAGAATCCACGAAAACATTAATAGAAAACTCGGAAAGTAACCAAAACAGTAATTCATGAATAGATAATCATCCACAGGTAAACAAATCCCACACAAAACATGCAAACAAATCACAAACCATAAAAGAATCCGCAATCGAGAGACCCAACCATAAAAGATGAGCGAATGAGAGGTGGGGTAGCTCAAGCACCTCAGCAGACGACAAAACACAATCTAAAATCCGAGTTTTTTTTAAAGGCAATTTTATTTGGCTAATAATAATAAACCACCTCAACAGTAAAACATGACCCTTTTGACGTTATCCCTAAGCTGAGGGAGGGGTCTAACTGCAGCATTAGCCCCCGGAGGCCTAGTGGTCCTTCCACCGGGACCCGCACCTCTACCACCGACTGCACTGCTCGTCATTGAACCACTGTCTGATGTTTCTGGCTCCATGTAGAATCGAGCTCTAAAAGCTGCCAGATGTGCATAATATGCAGGAGGCACTGCCACAAGAACAAAAATACATCAAAAATTACGTTAAGGACCCTTCAAATATTTAGTTTCCGACTAAATGCAAATGCATTGGCAAAAGGGGTAAGTTCAAATACATACCAATGGAAACAGAGCGAGTACACCTGGCGTATCTGTAAATGAAAATAAGAATTGATTAGTAACCATACCAAAAGAATATTCTAGAAAGAGGTGTGTAGAGAGAAGGAGCTTACGTGTAGCAAAGGTTATTAGTAAGACTTTGAAGAGCATCAGCTGTAAATTTGTTCTCATCCCAGAGAACATGGTAATGTGCTGGACGGCTAGTACCCTGTTATTGGACCAGAGTACATATTGTTATGAATACAAGGTTTTCGGATAAAAGGATAAAGAGAAGCGCGAAGGTGAATATTACCTGTATACCAGCATGGCTGCAGAGGTAGAAGTCAAACTCAGTTGGGTGACAGATTTTGGAGTCAACAACAGTACCTGAAATAAGGGAGGGGCAGAACGTGCATTTCTTGAAATTAAAATTCAAACTGTATACCAAAAGGGAAAATAAGGGAGGGCTAGTATTTTCGAATTAGAGTCATTTATAACGCTTCTTCAGTTGCAAAACTAACAAAAAAATTTATGAATATAATGAATAAAATTCGAATAATGTACCAGGAAGAATGTTTCCACTTCTATCAACTGCATGTCGGTCATGGTGGTTATTAGCAAACAATCGAGTATGATGACGTTTCTGGACCACAACAAAGGTAACAGTAGGCTGATAGTTTGGCTCCAACGAGGCACATGCCTGGATGAATACAAGACAATATCAACAAAACAACTTTACAGGAATCAAAGATACACAACCTCCAAACAAATAACACTTTTCCTAGAATAACAAGAATCCACAAGGAAATAATCACCTTTCGTATAGCATCGAGTTCATAAAGCAAAACTTGATAAAACTGGCCTTCACTGACACCATCCCTGTATACACATGGGTCCATCTTAGAGAGAGATACAATAAAAAGGAGGAAACAACAGAAGATATAAGGGCTATGACTGAAATAACATAATCCGAGTCCGACAATTACCTATAGAAGATAATTCGCTGTGGTTTCTGCCCAGTTGCTCTGCGGAATGAAATAAGTAGTTCCCTGCATTATACAAACACAATGATTCGACCACAAATTATTAGTTACAATCTTCCGTTTAAGATGAACCAGGCAAAAAAGAAAAATAATAACACACTGAATTATGAATCATACTTGATCATGCCACCATGCATGGTTCCCTTAACCGGATCCTGCCAGGTTTTATAGAGATCCTGGATGAGTTCCTGCCTATGTGCCTGAGCACAAACCAAGCCTGCATACTTTGTGACTTCAGGCCAATCCTGGGAAGCAACAACCTACAAAATTCCAACCAAAATTTAAATAAGTAAACCTTAATATCGAAACATATATCCTCCTAACATAGAATCCATGCATTTAAATGTTCAAGTAGGCATAGGAAACTTACAGCAGCAATGGATGGGCTGGAGTCCTCTCCAGGATGGGGATGTGTAACATCTGCACCAAATATGATAGTTGGTCGATCACTGACAAGAGGAATACGCCTGGAGAGCGCATCCACCAGCACTGTATTCCTCCCACCAACTTTGACATTAATTTTCAGAGACACGTTGGCAAGATACTGTTTGCTCATCCTGTACACATGCTTCTGAAGACAGCACTGTGAGACGATTCCAAGATCCGTTTCGCATATCCGTTTTAGATCACCTAAAGGAAATACAATAAGAATATTACAAAACTCCACAAATCTAATCCAATCAAATATCTTGGAAAGAACATGCACATATTTACAAGATCATCTTTTACCGTAAAGAGAGCCATTGTTGTCTGGCAATATAACAATTAACAAGTCAAGCTCCTTCTTATGGGGCTGCAATTTAGTTGTCACATCATGATACCGAGCTTTCAAAACTCGTTCTACCTGATCTGGGCGACCAGTCAAAACTGGTAGGACGGGTTCAGGATTAAAAGCCTGCAAGAGACAAAAATATTTAGGATACATAGAAACATAGAAACCAAAAAAGACATTTAGGATCTGTTTTTACCATGCCAGAAGTGCTGCACATCTGAGCAAGCTCGTGGCAGAAACTACGTGCCACGCTGTCTTGAACATTGCGTGAAAAGTTGATGCATATCCAACTGTTCACTGTCCCACCATTGACCATCCTCTGAAAGATACAATGAGTCACAAAAGTTTAAACCACAAAGAATACACATTGCAAAATCAAATGTTGAGTAAAATGAAGATACTAAATCCAGTAAAATGATGGTATGTCTGGTCTCAAATATGATCACATCAGTTTTTGACACAAGCAAATAAAATGGCTTTGCAAAGTTACCTTGTTCATCATATTCCACTGTCCAACTTGTGGGAGACAGTCCTTCTCCCGACCCGAGTCATGATATTTGAGCTGAAGGAAACATAGACATTATATTACAACTGAGGCGTAAAAAATAATTCAGAAAAATCAGAGTCTAAAGCCCTTTATTACCCAAGGTGGAGGTAGAACACGAGCTTCGACCTGCGCTAGCTTCTCACTAATCTTAATTCCAAATTCTTTAGCATAAGGGTCTTCAGCATAAGCATTATGGTGTACAGTCTGAAAAGGATAAGACAATATGTCCGTTATATGAACAGAAAAATAAAAAATAAAAAAAAATATATCCGTTACGTAAGGAAATATGTCCTTAGCAACAGGCCTCAATAATATACAAGCTGTGTCACCATTAGACGAACCTGGAGAATGTCAAGCTCCCTTTCCTGAGGACGCTGACAAGTGACCTTGAGTAGTGCAGTAATCTGTCTCTCATTTAACCTCTTAGAATACCTCTGGCCCTCTACTATCTTGCACACCTATTTAAATAAATAAATAAAGAAGTTAAATCTTGAGTTCCTTCAGAACAAATAGTCACAAGGGGAAGAAAAAAGACCTCCATGGGAAGATAGTTTGGCCTCTGTGTATTCCCAACTTGCAGACAAGGCCACTGAGTGTGTTGGATAACAAAGCCATAGGTTTCTTGAAAATACTCAACAACAGATTTCATAGTGCCTCTCTCGTCAACAGGAAATCTAGCACATCGAGACAGCTCAGACAATTAGCATCAAGGTGTTCAAAAGAGAATATGAAAGGTTACAAACTAAACTACAACGTTCATGTTTCATATTCACATCCCACGAATGCATAACTCGACTCTCAGTAATACATAATGCAATTCAATGAGCAAAACTATCACGAGTATAACTAAAGGCAACAAAGTTAACTAGTTTGTAAAAATGCAGATTGTTTTAAGATACCTTTGAATAGTTCTAATAAAAGTATCTTCATTACCATAACGAGAACTGAATTACAAAATTCATTTGATCCTTACGTTAGTTCACGAGTTGCTTGTGATGTCAAACCAGAGATACGGTATTTCCTTCGCATGTTTCCTCTGTGAGTAACTTCCACCTTTACTCCCCTAAGGGCTTTCTTAATCTGTCAATTCAAATGACAATACAAAAAGCACTGTCAATCACACGAAAATTGATAGAAGAACTTAGAAACTTGCACTCATTCTCAGTTTCTGATGCGTGCAAAATGCACAAAAATATGAAGAAAAGTATCAATGTAGTAAATCAAAAATTGACACAAAGTAAACTAAAAACCTAACCTTGACTCTGTCAGCATCAGATAATGGTCTAGCTGATACATCTCTGTTCAGAAGCTGGGTGACAAAATCAATCACCGGGAGAGGCTCAATGAACGCAGTGGATGACATATCTGTGGAACCAAGAACAGTGACTCAGAGTAAAAATCATGGTGATTAACATTGAGATGGAAGGATCCTAGGACCAAAATAATTATACATTCTCAAACATGCAATGAAACGATAAGAGAATATATATCCCTGAAGACCAACAAAATCTCGAACAGATTAACATGAGCAAAGATGAAAAATAAAATACAGATCAAGAAAGCCAAAGGCTTCTCACCAATATTCAGTGACAAACCCATCTGGGTAGGACGAATACTCTGGTAGAATCCACGCCAACTTTCCAGTCCTTCACCAAGAGGCTGCCTTTTACCTAAATCAGGAGAATAGAAAGATCGACCAACTGGAGAATACCTGAAATGGACAGGACAATCAGAACAAAGGAGTGACAAACAACAATAATGATGATATAGTGAGCCAACACCAACATACGTACCGAGAGGTTGGAAGTTCACGCAGTACAATGTCAAGAACCTGAAGAGCTTCTTGGGGTGCATCAGCTTGTCTACCCTGTAAGAACATGCCTAAATGGTGCAAGTCTGCGCGTGCAGCGAACTTGATAACCACTTTGAATTCCCTTTCTCGCCTGCACACAGTATTACAAACACATTCAGATTGGAACAGCAAGTCCAAAATAAAACATCTCATACCAAATTGGAAGAAAGCAAATTTCAAGAAGCATATTGAAACAAACCTGGCAGTTCCAGGACCATCTTCTTCGTCGGTAAGAGTTATTTTGAACTCCTTTGCCACAAAAGGTAGAGGGCCAGCAGTGTACAGACTCTTTCTTCCGTCATAGGCAGGGAGCCTCTTTCCAAGATGAGAATCCCTATAATGCTTCACTAACTGCGCCATCACAGCACGGTTTACTCCTCGGGATGTGACTTCAGGAGTAATTGAGACCTTTGACACAAAAAGAGAAAAAGGTACAAGTCAATTTTGTGCAGACATGTCAAAATATTCAAATTGTATCTATGAAAAAGTGAAGAAAATTGGAGAAATGGCTAGATATAAACAACTCACATCATACTGATGCAAGTCTTTGTCAGGCAGCTCAGCAAAGAAATGATTCGCTTTGACAATACACCTGGTACCATTGCTACCCTTGCCAGGCCTCAGAGGAAATCTCACTGACTTGCTTGAAGCAGGTTGCATTTCTTGGCTTGGAGCAACATCTGGCTGGATAGAGAGTTGCTGGATCTGCTCAGACACTTCTACATCTGTCGGTTCAGGAGGCTGGAAAGAAGAGCTAGCCCCTCTGAGTGTCTCCGCAGGACTCCCATACTGAATTGGCTGAGTCATTGTCGCTTGATACGGGGACTGGGTAGCAGCTTGGTGCAGCTCGGGAGCGGGTGGCCTAGAGGGCCCACCAGCAAATGGTGCCTCGCCTCGGCCACCTGAATAAGCGCCACGTCGTGGTGCACCCCCTCCTCGCTGATATTGCTGACCGCCCCGACCTTGCTGTTGATACTCGGGAGGCCCACCATAGTGTTGCGGGGGAGCCATTCTGCCGCCTCCACCACCACGGCCACCATATCCTCCACGTTGAGGTGTCCAGCCTCTTCCTCCTCCTCCTTGCTGTTGTGGCTGTTGTGGCTGCTGTGGCTGTTGTGGGTGTTGCGGCTGGTAGGGCGGTTGAGGCTGGTGGGGCTGTTGCAGCTGTGCAGGTGGGCGTTGAACGGCACCGCGTCCTACACCAGTTTCCTGAGGTTCGGAGCCCTCACCAGAGCCAGGAATGTCACTTCTCCTCTTCCTCACCATGGTAACAGCTACAAAAACGAAATTTCCATAAATCACAAGTCATATCCAACATGCCCAATCACATATGAGTAACAAAAAAAGGCAAAAACGTAAATTAGAAACAATTGTATCTGTCATCACAAGAACAAAGTACAACCAAGAACAAGAATCACAACAATCATGACCCTTAATCTGCCCCCGCTCATCTCACCACACAAAAGACCAACAAGTAGCACATGTGCGAGAAAGCATTAAATGACAAAATGAATCATCCATACAATTTAATGCAGACAAAATCACCTATTAACACCAAATACAAGAATGCCAGACATAACACCTTCGAAAAAATAATTTAGAAACAATTAATATGGTTCTAGACCACTAAATGGCATATGTAACCAAATGAAAAAATCATTTCAAAACAAATAAGATGTGCTCATATTTCAAAACTTGATAGAAGGCCATCCACGGCCACATCCAATTCGGAAATTAGAGTAATTACCCGTAAAATTAGTCACAGACACTTTAGAAACCATTTTTACCAAAGGCAAGATAAAGCAACTGTAGCTCGCTCAGAATCACAAACTTATCATGAAAAATGATAGAATAATAGTTTTGAAACAATCAAATGAAGAACATAAAATTTCCAAGACCTAAGTTGATGAAGAGGACAAACGTAGAACTTCAAAAACAGAAAAAGAGATATACACATACATTTCAACGAGTTAAAAAATTAAGGAAAAATCTAAAAAAAACTTTTTCAAAAAAATAAAATCACCAAGTTGCAGCACAGTTTTGGATGATCCAAAATCACTAGCGTTTGTGGAAGAAAAACACCCAAAAAAAACAAGCAAATCTTCGAAAAAAGCACAAACGCACAAATACAAAACATAAGATCAGATCATCGTTTCATCAAACATGTTCACCCAAAAAAATGCAGGAAATCGAAAAAATTAACAGTACAGTGGAGTGATAGCAGCAACACGAAATGCACAAAAATACCCAGATCCAACAAATCGAACCATACAGCAAACCAAAAACCAACACCAAAACCCTAACAAAATTCAAACAGAGTTCTCCACCACCAAACCCTAGATCACTTGTTGTGGTCTTTACCTTGAAGTTGCAAAAACTCTTGGGAAAGCTCCAACACAAAGACAAACGCTTATACGGTATGTGTGTGTGTGTGTGTGTTTCTCTCTCTGTGCTACAGACGGAAAAAATGAGAAAACTGCAAATAAATAGAGAGAGAGAGAGAGTGGGGTGTGATGAGAGAGAAGGAGTGGAGAGAGGGGGATAAAAAAGGGGGCCGAGGAGGGGTGTGTGTGTCTGTGCGGGTTGGTAAAACGACACCGTGGTTTATAGGAAACTACGAAAATGCCACGCATTAGGTCTCCAATGAAATGACAACTCAGCCCCTAGATATTCGCTTTTTTGGACCGGAGTCTCTATTGTGCTGACATGGACATATGTAGCCGTTGACCGGCATTTTCTACCGACGTGGCGTGTGACGTGGAAATATCTGAGAAGTTGACTGGCGGGAATGACAGCATGGTGGTGATGTGGCAACAGACCCAGCAAAAGTTTGCCGTAATTAGGTTCTCGCCCTTTACTTTCTGGAAATATAAATCAAGACCCGGATTTGAGCCATAAAGTTTTGTATCAAAACTTTTAGTTGATTATTATTACAATTTTATGCATAAAATCATGATAGATGAATTGTACAAATTATAGTCATAATCATTGGCTTTTTAGTGATTTTACTATTATCATTTATTTTTTTCAATTTGTACTATACGATGAGTATTAACAATTAATTACGAAAAAATCTGCAGCCAACCATAGCCTATCATATAAGTTGGTAACTATTAAAAATCATTATTTATCTTTTTATGATATCTGTATTTTTTAATTTAACTAAATTGTAGTATAACAATCTAAATAAACGATTTTTAAGCATTTCTAATAAATTAACATTAAAAATTATGTTTTCAATAAAATAATTTATTACTCGAATAATAAGGATATTCGCTTATTTTAATTCACATTGTAAATAAAGAATAACTTAGTTTATAAATATTATGATAACAATTATGATTATTTTCCTTTTATGTTTAAATAATTATTAGGCTTGATTTTATGAGAGTATGTTTTGGAATAAATATGAATGCAGAGAGTATTCGTGTAATATAATTAAATATTTGAGGGTACTTTTATATTTTAAATTTAAAAATGACAAAGCAAATAAAATAATAAATAGTAAAGGTGGGGATTGAATATTTTTCTAAAAACAACTTAATTATAAGATCTCCAACAAATTGTTTTTTTTTCATTTAATATATTTCAAGAGAAAAATTACCAAACAATACGTTATTAGACTAACATATAAACACACACATACAACAAAAAAAGACACGATGAGAGTTCGAAAATATTTTTGCTCTAGTTAATCATATTAAAATAGAGTGTAGATTATACGTCCAAACGCATAAGTGTGAACTCATCGATCAATATTTTTAATCCGACATAGTTGTTAAAGTATCAAATTAATATCATTATATGAAAAATTAAATTAAATATTAGAGAATAAAAATATTGATTTTATTTACAATTATATTAGAGAATAAAAATACTAAATTAAATATAAGAGAATAAAAATATTGATTTTATTTACAATTATAACCAAAATATATATATAAAACAAATGTATTGCACTTTTCTTATATCATTATTTTTGCATGAATAAATTAAGTACATGATATTAATTTATTAAATTTTATGAATAGTTTTATTTAATCCTTCCTTTAAAAAAATCCATCAAATTTTGCAGATTTTCCCAAAATGAAAGGAGTGAAAACAAAATTTTACCGAACAATAATGACCTTAATAGAATTTTGGCAAAAACATAGGGCACAAAAGAAATAAATGAAAAAATAAGTGAATGGGGGAGTAAATAAAGGCCGTGTCACATGATTGGCCACGACCCGTCTCGATTACTGCAGATGAAAAAAGCAAAGAATGGCCCTTGATTTCCACAACCACTTGCGCGTGTTTCTATTAACACCCTACTCGCTCTTATACGGCAACACGTGTACGAGTTTGCCTCCTACATGAAATTGTACGACGATATTTTACAAAATTATGATTGTAAATAATTCTACAACATATTCATTTTTTGTTTACGACTATATATTTTACAAAATTAGACAAGTTTTTAACCTTTGTTATATACTCTTCCTAGACACTAATTTATCTAATTTTTTTGTCGATATATAATTGTTACATGGTTTGTTAATTATTTTCTATCGTTTTACTAGTAAAAAACATGTAACCAGCCACTTCTATTTTTTAATTTTAATATATCATTGTAATTCGAGGTTATAGTATGATGAAGTTGAATATGACTGTGTTAATACGAGTATTGAGGTTTATGTTGTGCAAGTTATGACCAAACATTATTATTCACTATTTAAGTTTGATTGGTTTATTAGTTATCATTATTATTGATAATTAATGACTACTATATTTGATATGCCTATTGGATCAGCCCAATGGACCTACGATTTATTTATTTACTGGGCCACAAATTCAATTTAGAAGTTATTACTATAAAGGCCAAATCATCTTTAAATAAGGTTTGGGCTCGATAATTGGTTTCGACTCAATCAAGGAAGTATAGATAAAACTTAATTCATTTAATCAAGGAACGTTTATATACACAAGCAATCCAGCTATTACAATTTTCTTGACTATTTCACGATCCAAGTATCTGAATTAAGCATTGGAGGGGCTTCCGCCAGATCAACCCCGACTTAGTTCACGTTTACTTTGTAAGCAGGAATCTCAAGATCATCCAATACGTGATCAGTGACCCGATTCATTTCTTCGATTACATTTACTACAGGTAATTAACTAGCATCATCAATATTATTTAACACATGAATAAAATACGTTGATAGTAATAGATTAAGAAGTGAACTGAATAATCTATGGTCTCGTACAATATTGTATTTTTTATTTTATTTTGTTTTGTAAGCAGTCTTGTAGACTAGTGTGCATGTCTGGAGAGCTGTAAACTACGTTAGACATAAGGTGGTATATGTGACGAACTCAATCTAAAAAATACTAATCAATAAACTTAAATTCGAATATATTTTTTTCTTTTTATAATTAAATCATTCTTATGAGTCATTGATTATATACAAGGTGCCAAAGACATTCATTTGTATATAAGGGATTCTATTAATCCCAATTAACTAAAACACTAATTTCTTTCAAACATATATCTATATTTTTGTATTACTCAAAAAAAAAATATCTATATTTTTGTATAATAAAATAAGTGTTGAATTACCGAGCAAAAATAATTAAAAAATAAAATGAAATATTGATTTTTCTTGGTCAATATTTTTTCCCGTCACTGCAGCCAAACACACCCAAACGGTGTACGAAAACCAGCGCGAGTAGCCAATTAATTCTGGGTGGGGAAGGTACGGACAGTGCTTTACAGTGCATTTCTTGGCTTTAGCACTATAAAGCCAAAAACTTCTCTAAATTATCATTTCCACCACAATATTTTAATGTTTTCTAAAATACAGTACACGGTCAATATTTATTATGTTTTTTATTTTTTTCTCCATTTTCTTTTTATTATTATATTCCAATGAAGATAATTAATCAATATAATATTATAAAATTATCAACTTGGGATTACGAGGGGCTCGTCCATTTCATTATTGGACCCTTTTTTTTTAAATATATAAATAATTTTTATCTAGAACTTTCTTTATTTTGGCTAGACCCCAAATTAACTTTTTGGACCCATAATGCCCTTTAGATGTCATTTTATATGGAGGGGTGTGTTACTTTTAATAGGCCAATCTTATTCAAGAAATAGATAATAAATATGGGAATCAATGGGACCCACCCTATGTTAGGAATTAGGGTTAAACATTTATGCTTCGATCTTGCCATTGGATATGACCATTAAATAGTACAAATCGATTGAATTCCAAACTATTATTCGAGAGTTTGAGTTTATCCAGTGCACTTATACGATTGGTTGTTGGTTCTTTCGTTATGAAAAATAATATCAATTTGGGACATTTCAATGTTCGTAGAAGTCTTTACTTATAATGTAGATAGACTTGACTTGATGTAAGTATTTGTTTTTATATAAATTGTGAATGTCAGTATCTACGTATTTCATCTCATCCAATTGCTTCGATTTGAATTATTCGAAGAATATACCTTAATCATGAAGTTCCATTAGCAATCAAATGGAAATGAATCATATTTGTAGATAAAATTATTATTTCCTTTTATTGGCCAAATGATGTGGTACATCAATTATTCACACCATACAATAAAAATAGTTAAAATGCTATCCATCATGACTCATACATAGTTTGGTAGGTGGGCTTTAGTTATCACAAGAAAATCAATGTGTATAATGCTTGCACTTAAATGGAAAAGAATGGGCTAATTTTTCTTTCAGTTTTCTTAAATTGAAAAGAAATTTATATGCTAGAACTTTTATCAATTGATTGGAGTAAATGAATTTTTATCAATTGACTGAAGTTCGAACTCATTTGCCAATGATCTTTAGATCGAGTTCATCATACTTAAATACTGTCTAATACTTCATCTGTTCCATAATATCTGTCTCTTTTGAGAATTTTTTTTGTTCCATATTATCTGTCAATTTACAATTTCAATGCTGCATTAATTGTTTATTTTTCAATTTTACCCTTATTAGTTCTATAGCACTTTGCATGCATTAATTAATAAACAAGGGTATTTTGGTCAATTAATATCTATTTTCCTAAAATCAAGACATAGTTATTGAGATTCTTAAGATTTGTGTCAATGTGAAAAACGACACCTATTTAGAAACGGATGGAGTATTTAATATATTTCAATTTCATTCACAAATCCTAATTTAAATAAGTTTATATTTATCATGAGTTTTATCATATGCTTTGGAAACTCCGAAAATCATAATGAGCAATAAAATTTGTTCGTCGAAAAAATGAGCTACAAATTTTAATGAATTAATAATAAATTCATTTAAATAAATTTAATATGTTATAATTTGGTAATTTGAATTCGTTTTTAATTCATTGAGATGGATCTGAGATATGGCCCGGCCCATTATCGAGTAATTTTTGAAATTTTCCCATCATAGTAAATTACTATTTTACCCACATGAAATATACTTACCTCGTTGATTCAATAATTGTGAGACAAATTTAATTCAAAACAATAATCCAATTATTAATTTTCACAGATTAATTTCATCTGGCAGTAAACAAAACAATGGCGGCGGCGACTACGGCGGCGGCGGTGAAGAAATCAGCGGTGTTGTATCACTACCCCTGTCCCGACGGCGCTTTCGCCGCCTTGGCAGCTTACCTCTATTTGTCTCAATCTCCGACCGCCCCTCTCTTCTTCCCGAACACCGTCTATTCTCCTCTCAGGTCTCTCTCTCTCTCTCTCTCTCTCTCTCTCTCTCTCTCTCTCTCTCTCTCTCTCTCTCACACACACACACACACACACACACACACACACACACACACAAGCTAACTGTTTGTACTTTGATGCTTATGTGGTGCACATATGGTGTTTGTTATATTGCAGAGCAGAGGATTTACCATTCAACGAAATTGACACAGTTTACCTGCTGGATTTTGTGGGCCCGCCGGGTTTCGTCCAGCAGCTCTCTCCTAAAGTTAGAAAGCAAGTTTGATATTCCTTTTCCTCAATTGATTAATTGATATTTCAATTTATAAAATTAGGTTGTGTTTTTTAGATGAAATCGAAACTCAAGATCAAATTTTTAATTGCTGTAGCTCATCTATGACTTAATTTTTTTTTATTAAAAAAATTATGTAGATGATCTTTAGTTTGAGTATGATTAATTCTTTATTGTCTTGAGCAAATGCTAGATATTTAGAGGCGTTTGGTGATTAGATTCCCACCATACCTTAAAGTTGAAAAAAAAAAAAAGAAAAGAAAGTGCTTCCCACTATGCATATTGTATTTCGAGTGACACAATGTTTGTCCATTTTCAGTAATTTCTATGTTCGATATTTTGCGATATAGGGTTGTGGTATTGGACCATCACAAGACTGCACTCGAGATGTTGGGTTCGGGGATTTCAACTAGTGGAAATGTGACTAAAGTGATTGACATGGAGAGGAGTGGAGCTACTATAGCTTTTGATTATTTCAAGGAAAAACTCTCCCGTGGGGGCACCCACAGTAGTAAAGACGTCGCCTCTAGTGAATATCAGAGAGTGAGACGAATATTTGAGTATATCGAGGACGCGGATTTGTGGAGGTGGCGACTTCCCGATAGTAAAGCATTTAGCAGTGGATTGAAGGATTTAAATCTTGAATTTGATGTCACATCCAACCCTTCATTGTTCCAACAGGTACCTTCCTTTGCGGGATATAACTGTATAATGTGGTACATATTTAAAATATTCCAAAAATGAATTGGATGTGTTTTTTAATATTTAGTGAATGTACATCGGTTTTTGGACTGTGTCATGCATGAAAGTGATAAGAGAATAAAAAAAGTTATCATGAAAGAGTAATACTGTGGACTCGACTTTTTTTCTTTGTGATGTTGATTGTGGTTCATTGCTTTGCTAGTTGTGGGAAAAAAATATCTGCGTTTTCTAAAGTGATAATTCTTGAATAAAAAAATCGGTTAGCCAAACTTAACATATTTGTATAGGGGTCAATTCTATGCTACACACGCTGGAGTCTACACCGGGTAGATCCTTACTTTCGTTTGCACACACCAACATGGGTGTGTGTTTTTGTGTGTGAATAAACTGTAAAGAATTAACCGATGTATTTCACCCGGTGCAGTGTGGAATAAATCTCGAGACAAAATATTTTCTTAAGGCGTTTCATAATGATATCTGTTTTTGCAGTTTCAAATTTGAAGATAGCTTCATATCGCGTTAGACTAATCGACTTTGTCGGGTTACCTAGTCGGGAAGAAAGATGCCTTATACACAGTCCAAAATGACTTATTCTAGTAGGTTTATATACCATTTCACCTTTCTGCTTTCCCAGAATTTTGATGAAACCTTTTCCATTAATATGTCTTCTTATTCATTAAACTAGACAGCTAACGGAGCTCATAAATCGATGGTTCATTGTATATATTTGAATTATTAAGATAATGGGCTATATTTTGGCTTCTATTTCGTATGTTCTATTTTAATTTTTTTTTATGGATGTTCTATTTTAATTTGATCACTTCAATTTTAATCATTTTTTATCCGACAATATTTTTCCGTCATGCATGCTATACGTAGCATACCTTCCATTTCTTCTAAAGGCTTTTTTTTCACTCAATATTGGCATACTTTGCTTTCAGTTGCTGTCATTAGACCTCGAATCAGTCATAAGTCAAGGTATGTCTAGCTTAGCACATAAACAGAGCATTATAGACGGGGTTCTCGAGCACTCGTACGAAATTGCACTTGGTGGTGGAGCTTTTGGACATTGCCTGGTAAATTTGATCTGCATTCGTCCTTCTATGCTTTTCTGTAGTTATCTGAACTAATATTTTGTTTCTATATTTTAAATTGATAGTTAATTGACTGTATTCATTGTTAACTTAAAATGCATTCAATTCTATCAAACTCGGGCTTTCGCTTACTGTTAGCTTCACGGATGGTGTATGTAGGTTTCTGTATATGTTTTTTTAATACTAGGTGGTTATGTGATTATTTTAAATCTTTTTATGCTGCATAACAATTCTAGGCATAGTCTTCGAGCTAACTGGTAATACATCTCTAGTATTTGAATTCATCGATATTCTGATCGAATGGTTTGACATTGTATTACTGATATGCATATTGCTATTTTATTCTTGAAGGCTGTAGATGCAGATTCTGTAAGTGAATTGAGGAGTGAGCTTGGACATCAGTTAGCTAATAAAAGCATGAAAACGAACTCGAGGTTTGTAGTTGATTTCCTTTTTTATTTATTTATGAAAATTTAAAGTGTAAAAAGATTTGCCTCGACGAGACATGAGGCACAGAACATATGCATCTGTGTAGTATCTATTATCTTCATCTGCATTTGCACCAGAATACGCAATTCTCTTTTATGATACTGCAAAATGTTATAAGAATCCCGTTATTTTTTTTAATGCAATTCGGGTATGTATTGATGTTCGTGAAGGTCAAGATATGATTCATTAACCGTGATGATTATTATTCAGGGGAATCGGAGCTATTGTGTATAAAGTTCCCGAGCTTGAAAATGACCTAATGTTGAAAATTAGCCTAAGGAGTATCAAAGAAGAAGACACTACACCTATATCACAGGTCATTTCCCGGTTTTCCAAACTAGTATAGTTCTTTTCGCCAGAAAATATAACATACAATTGAAGCTCAATATATATATATATATATATATATATATATATATATATATATATATATATATATATATATATATATATATAAAATAATAAAACCAAATTTTATGCAGAAATACGGAGGTGGAGGGCATCGCTGTGCTAGTTCGTTCCTCTTAAATTATGCAGAATTCCAAACGTGGAAAGTTTCTGGTAATAACTCAATCTAGATGTACTCCTCTCTATTGTTCAAGCATGGGGGGTGGGGGTGGGGGTCCGTAATTTGTCGAATTATCTGAGATGCCTCTTTTTGACTGTACAATATGAAAATCTAGCTCGTAATCTAACTTTCATTTATGTGTCAACAAAATATTTATTACTATGATTTATGTTACAAGGTTTTGTTTCAATTCATAGTCTCTTCGATGCTCTTCTATTGCATTAAAATTCGTCCAATCAAATTGTTTTTTTGAGTGCTTCGATATGTGATGGAAACCACAATAACACGATGAAATGATGCTTGTGATTATTAGTTCTGCTTTAATTAGACATGACCATGTTTAATTGTACGTGTGCATAATGTTAACTCTGTGGACCGAAAGAAAACGAGCTGTTCGAATCGTGGGTCCCCCCGGTAAGCCAGAATTTAGGACAGGGGAGAAAATTGACAACTGAAGCTGTATTAGTATTTGCAAATATGGACCCCTACACAGATCACATGTACAGAAATTGTCTGTCTGTCAAATTGTGTACTAAGTTTGGTCAAGAAAACTGGAACACAAATCTCTTATAGAGGAACAACCAACTAACAATATTAACTCCCTCTGCAGGGAGTAGGCCCTTTATTAGTAAAACCAAATTTAAAAAAAAAAAGAAAAAAGAAAAAAAAAAAACCCGAAAAACCAAATCTGTGTAGCCATAACATAACATGGCTGCACAGTAAATGTAATACATCACCCACAAGAATAATCTAAGTACAATTAGAGATGACCTGCATAAGAAAACTCGACCAAAAAAAAAAAACCGAAATTACAAATATTAATTCTTGAAATTAATCTTTTTTATGTTATTAAAATCGGGTGTTTTTTCTTTTGTTAGTTTATAAATGCCATTTGAGAAATCTCATCACCACCGAAAGGTGTGGTAGACGAGCACCAAACATCGTCTGTGATGAATTGCATCCACGAATCATCCTTGTCGTCTTTGTCTTCTTCTTCCATACATATATTAGAAGATGACGTCACTGGAAAATCGGGCGACAGCGTTTCGTGCTCGTTTGTGATACCTTGTGTGTAATCGAGCAACGATATGTTATTACTAGATTGCCCTTGGTCTTCAACTTCAGGGCACAGCCCGTTTTTCTTGAAAACACGACATAGTGCGTACGAGTCCTGTGAGGCATAAGATAGTATAGATAATAAAGTTAGCATTTTTAATTTGATTCAAGATTAGGGACAAAGTAGATTCTTGAGTTCATTTTTTGGTTTTGAGGGGTGGCACTAAAGGTGGGGGCGATGCGTATATTTTATCGGTCAATAATTGGGGCTATTCGATTTTGTTCGATACACTGCTGTCAAATTTTTTTTTTTTAAAGTAATAAAAAAGTGAGATAAAGAAGAAGATGCAGAAACTTGTTGAAAGTACAAAGAGATCTTTCTATTCTCTCTTCTATGGCAATGGAGGATCATCACAAAACACTCATTCTTTTGAACTGTACTATGTCAATACTCTCTCTCTAGATCTCTCTCTAGAGAGAGAGAGAGAGCAATGGATTTGGGTTATTTAGGGGAGAGAGGGAGAATAAAGGGAAAAGTGACCGACACCTTCATACAGATGAAAGTGAAGGGAAGTTACTTTAGGGTTTATTTAATATTTGATAAATGAAAATGAGAAGATTTTACATACAAGAATCTGAGATTCTAGATCAGGGCATCATATATGATTTGTTTATCAAAACAACAGGTAGTAGCAAAAAGAGAGAATAAAAAAAACAAGAAGCTATATGATTGGTGGGTGATAAGATTAGATTCAGTCGTATGTAAGAATTGTGGTTCTGTCTTATTATTGAAAAACAAGAAAAGTGAAGCTAAACTGCATATGTTACTCAAGAGATCTAACATCTCTGCAAGAAAAGAATAACATGTCAGCAATTTCCTTTTTTTCTTTTTTTTAGTGATTATTATTTAATTATAGAAACCTATATAATAATTCATCATATGCAAGAATCACACATACACACACACATATGTGTGTGTGTATATATATAAAAGCTAGATCAAAGGTGGGATAATTGAGTGTGACAAAAGTAGCAATCGTCCCATGCATGCCATGCAGTTCACGTTCTTTATAAAACACACACACACACACACACACACACACACACTATATAGAGAGAGAAACACACACCACATTACACACAGGTATATATGTGTGTGTGTGTGTGTATTAACAGGAATATAACATGAGGGCACATGTTTAAAGCGCAAACCATCTTTGCTTTTTATCCATCCTTTAACAATATTAAAAAGAGATGATGAGAAAAATAGAAATGGAGGGAAATACTTTTTTTTTTTTTCCTTTAAATAAGGGACCTTGAAATCCGTGCATTTTGGAGTCAAAATGGTGAAATCTTTGCATGAATTGGGTAATTAACTTGTAGCTAAATTAAATCTAAACCCCTTAATTAATATCACATTAATCCTTCCCTCTCTAGGTTAACTTGTCTTAATTAATTTACTTAGCCTCAAATCATGCGACGAACAGTACACTAATCACCGGGGAGTTAGATGCTACGCCTGATTATTTACAACGGGTCGATTTGTACCGTAGATTTGATCTAAGAAAATTATATCAAGAAAATCGCACTTCCTAAGCTAAGAAGACAATCAAACCTCAGTGAAGCGAAAAATAACGATCTGATAAAAACCATTTTCGACAGTTCTTCGAAAATTTCACGATCACGTACGTTATACCCTTCGACTTATAATGCACACACACACACACACACACACATGCGCGCGCGCGCACACATATATAAATATAAAATTGGTAAACTATACGAGCTACCTGAATACCAGAAGTGTCCTCCCACTCTTTATCGTCGAGTCGATATTCATGCATAACCCAATCGGTTCTTATTCCCTGAGGCGCCCTTCCTCTGTAGTAAACGAGCGTCTTCTTCATTCCGATCGCTCGATTCTGGCTATTCACTCTCCTATCTTTTCCAGTCGATTTCCAATACCCTGCCCTTGTCGCTCGATTTGTTCTGAACCCGTTCGGATATTTTCTGTCTCTCGGCCCAAAAAAATACCACTCCGGATCCCTACTCGGCAAAAAAGATTTCTCTACACAACCAAAAACAAAATACAAAATATATATTATAATGTTTTCAGACAATGTATGCATATTTTAACCACATTATTAAAAATAAAAATAAAATAAAAAAGTTATATACTAACCTGCTAATTCCCAAGGCTCACATTTGTAGAGATCAACTTCCGGGATGATATCGAGTTCGATTTCTTGGCCTTGGATTTTCCTCTTGAGATAATAGTTCACGAGTTCTTCGTCGGTTGGATGAAATCTGAAGCCCGGAGGTAATCCGACTGGGGCCATGATAGTAATTTGCACCACCGCCGCCGGCTAAATTTCTCCGAGCCTATTATCGAAACCCTTTATTTTACGAGTACGAAAAACAAACACGAAGTAACCACTCATGAAGTGCATTATATAAAGGAAATCAAAGTCCCTTGTCTTTGAGTTATTTTTCACTTTTGTAGATTCTGAGAAGCGTTTCTTGCAAGCCCTTTAAACAAAAACATTAAACAAAAATAAATCCCTCAAGTATGACAAAATTAGATTATTATTTAAATTTATTTATTTATTTATTTTAATATTATGTATATAAAGAAATTACAGCACTGGGGCCCAAGGCTTTTTTCCCTCGTGAAATAAGGGTTTAAAGCAAGACTACATGATGAGATGGTCCAGGTTGGTCGTAGTGTTGGATCATCAAACTTTTGGATTTCTTTTTTTTTTTTTTTTTTTAATTTTTTTTTAATTTATATATAATCTAATGTGATTCATAACTAGTCATACAACAAATTTTAGTTCTAGTTCGTGATGGGTACCTATTTGAACTCGAAGATAAAGAGTACGTAATACATAATTTTATTCTATTACATAATAATTTTTATATGAATGCGAATTTAGGGATTACAGATTATCTAAGGCACAAAAGAAAAGAACCGAAAAAAATATGTGGAAAAAGATTAAACATAAAAGCTACAAAGAGCAAAACTTCTATGAAGAAGATGCTAAACTTTTTGTTTACGATACAGTTTCCAATGGCACATTTTTCTTGTTCAAAATCAACTAGCGGTGGCACCAGCCACCAACCCAGTAGAAAGCACATTACCTTGTTCAAAATCAACTAGCGGTGGCACCAGCCACCAACCCAGTAGAAAGCACATTATCGAAAACCTAAGTCTGATCAGGACAATTCAATTTTTGGTCAACTCTCATCATCGAAATCCCAATCTTACTGATTTTTAACTCTCTTGTGTTTTCCTCACTCAGAAGTCGATCTCATTTGCTTACCGAAGAAATTAGTAAGAGATTCAAATGAATTTGCTCTCTCTCTCTCTCTCTCTCTCTCTCTCTCTCTCTCTCTCTCTCTCTCTCTCTCTCTCTCTCTCTCTCTCTCTCTCTCTCTCTCTCTCTCTCTCTCTCTCTCTCTCTCTCTCATGTTATTAAATACAAAGAAAGTTCTTGTAACTTAAACAAATTAGGAAAGAAATAAACCGTCCACTCCCATGATTTAGTTGGACAAAACCAAGTAAAATCTAGGTTATTACATAAACTTGGATATCTTCTTAGTTGAGTTAATTGATTAAGACAACATTTTCAATAGGTCCAATTGCAATTTGCTATACAATGCAAATTTAATTTTTTTCAATTCAAAATACTTATAAATATATTAAAAACTAGTAAAGAGCATGCAACAAATTATAAAAATAATATTCCTCATCCTTTACGAAATACTTATCATGGAAAATGACAATTGGGCCCATCAAATGTTTGCTAAAATCATTTCATTTGACTAATTTAGGCAAACTCAAAGAGTCCCTTTTGGTGTTAAATGCCACAATTAAAATGCTTTCCACCAAACAAGTAATAAAGATAACCATTTCAACCTATTCTTGATTTGATGTATGTTGTCACATTATACACTATATATTTAAATTTGCAAAAATAAAATAAAAATAAGTAGTAAATAAAAAAAAAATTGTAGTCTATAATAGAGCTTTATATCCCTTTCAAAATTAGTAGATAGTTAATATATAATAACATCAAATCTTGGAAGCGATCAACGTAATTAATTAGCTGTTTTGACTTTTAAATGAGACGTGCTAATTAATTAAACTGCTAATGACTTGACATGCATTTGTTCATTCATTTGTGTGGGTGGGACCCACAAATGCAACTATACTACTTGTATTGTATTTTCCCCATTGATTATTATTATTAGATAAATTAAGGGATTAAGGCCTCGTTTGGTCGGAGAAATTAGTCATTATTAACTAAAATTTTTGACTTTGTTTAATATTTAGTATATCTGGTATACAATGGTGTCGAAATCAACCACCATTTCTCAAATCTCAATTATTTTTTGTAGAAACATAATTTGTTTCGTGTACATATATATGATATATCAATGTCGTTGTTTATGAAAATTGAAGGCGATGTTAGTTTTAAAGGTCGAAAAATGCGCACACACATGCACAAAAAAGCGCGGTCGCTATCGTTCGATTAAAAAAAAAAAAAAAAAAAAAAAAACCCACCCCTCCTCCAAACAGCACTACTTACCAAACCTATGGTAGGATTTTTCACTTGAAACGCGACTCTTATAGAGAGATATTCGTGACACGTCTTTTTAATTGGTTTTTAAAATTATTTATTTATTTATTTTCCGTAATCAAGAGAGAGAGAGAGAGAGAGAGAGTTGTAGAGAGAGAAAGTGTTAGTTAGAAATTGATAGAGACAAACAATGAAGGTATCCAGTCTGTCACTGTTATTGCCCCCCACTGCCCACTTGGAGACTTTAAATCCCCCCTCTTTATTCCCACTCTGGACCACTCCATCGAACCCTAATTTTCCTATTTTAATTTACGACGATCCTCCTCATGTAAGATCAAATTACGAAATACACCCTCTTGTTTGGGTAGTTACAATCGCCTCCCTCAACTATAAATCTTCTTATACATGTTCACCTTTCTGGTGTCAAATTTAGTGGAATCTTCTAGATTATATGGAATATTCTAAAATTTGTTCCCGTTTTATTCGATTCTAGCTCCACATTTTGAAGCAAGATGATCATGGGATGTGTTTTTCGGCTTTTATATATATGGTGCATCAGAAACTGCATTTTTGCACAAAACAAATACAAATTAGAGAACATTCCACGAATCTAGAAGATTCTGTTGAATTTGACTTAGTTGAGAGGATAGTTGTAATTACCCAAACGTGAGGGTTTTTTTTTCGTAATTTGACATTACCTCAAGGGTGTGGTTGTAATTTACACTATTAATTAATTAATTAGTTACTATAAGCAAATATTATATAGAACGAACGAGGGGGAAAATTCAAAATTAAAAAAACAATAGATAATTAAAATTAAATTCCATAATAATTAATTAAAAGTTCAAAACAAACAGAAGTCAATACCCGAACCATACAGTATATCTTGCTGTGTGTAGAGATAAATTCCACAGCAAGAATATCACCAAACGGTGCGTTCTTGACTCCTCTTTTCAATAAAAAAAAAAAAAAAAACACAAAAAAAATTAAAAAAAAAAAAAGAAAAAAAGAAAAAAAAAAGTAGTTGTCAATTGTAAATGAACTTGACAGCAAAAACAAATACAGCAGCAGCAGCAGCAGCAGCAATTTATAAGTCAGCTTCAGCTATTGATGACGTGACACTAAATGAAGCATTCATATTCCCCCAACTAACACACACACACACACACACACCCGCACGTGTGTGTGTGTGTTTTTTTTTTTTCTTTTTTCAAAAATTTTTCGAAGTTCGATCAGTTGCAGTTCAATGCGGCTTTAATCTGATGAACGGTGTTTCCGATGAGGTTATTGACGGTGTTCACCGTCTCGGGGCTCATCCGCGCCGACGGCGAGTTGCTGACTAGGATCTGGAACACCACGGTCACGAGCGAGCCGGATGACGACGACCTGTCGACGGTCGTACTGTTCGAGCTCGTGGACGCCACGTCGTACTGGCCGTGGTGGAGCTGGTGGGGCCCGCCGTCGGGCGAGATCGTGAATCCCGACGGGAGCAATGGGAGGAATGTGGGGTCCTCGCCGCTCATGGCTACGTTGATCGAAGGCAAGTCGACGGGGCAGTGGACCACTATCGACCCCGACGAGTCGATGCAGCTCTCTTGGAGTATTAGCATGTTGTTCTGGCTTGTGTTGTATGCCTGCATTTTGTATATTCAAATAAAATAATTTTTTCTGATATTTGAAAAAATAAATAAATCGGATGTATTGTTAGTTAGTTACCCTTAGGATCGATATGCAGTTTCCGGGATGAGAGCCGTTGGAAATGTGAGCAACTTCTTGGACAGGGTTTTGGTTTGAGAGAACATCCCACTACAAAAATTTCGTGACAAGAATTAGTCGAATCCAATATTTTCGAGTGATTGCAAAAGCTTACGAAAACATGATATACCAGCTTTTTTTTTTCGTGTCGTAATCTATTTTCGAGTGATTGCAAAAGTAATTCTATTGTAACTCAAAAAGCACGTTTCGTTCTGATAATAACTTAACTCATAATCACCAACTTCTGATTTTACAAAAGATTTTGACGACTTTTCAAGAGTTTATTGGATCGTGATCCGTCGTTTGCTTTTGAATCTCTTGTAATAAGTGTTTTTACGACACAATTTGGAGCAACTTTTCTCTCAATTAGTACCTTTTACTCGTAATTACCGACATCTACTTTTACAAAAGCTTTTGCAAACACCACTTAGAAATTAAATTAAATACCGATAGATGAAAAGACGGGATTTTTTATTTTTTTTATTTACCTGAGGCCTAGTTCTCTCGTCTCGAAAAAAATTGAAGACGCTTTGGGGAGGAATCGGAAGCCATATAGTGGCGGCTGCACTAAGCACCACCGCGTTGGGCTGAGCTGGATCGGTGCTCCGGTGGAGGGTGGCTCGAACTTCAAATTCGTTCATTCCGGAAACCGAGGTCCATTGTTGTCCATTAGAAGGATTAATGCTTGAGCAAAAATTGCTCACCATTCTTTGAGCAAGTCTCGTCATGCTCCGTTTGCCTTCGGGCGAGGGTATCACTCCTATTTATTTCAATCAGAAAACAAACAAACATCACTCTATCATTCGAAAAAATAAACTCGAATTTATTTAAATACACATACTAATTTGTCATTAATTAAAAAAATAAATTATATTACCTCCTCCGGGATCACGAGACGAGTTTCCGGGAACCATCAAATAAGCAACTCTTTCACATGTTCTTTGAAGAGTCGAAATCCATCTTTCGGCTCCGAAGGCTAATCCACTTTGAATAAGGTCTCGATAAAGCCGATGGATTGGAGCTTTATCTTCTACTTCACAATGTTCCACCCAAGTTATCTATATATATAATTTTGTCACAAAATGGATCGATAAATTAAAATTTTCGTTCGAATTGATTGTTTATTACGGCAAAAAAAAAAAAAATCTTTTTGACAACCTTTGAGTAACCATTAGGCATGTCTTGGATCAAGCAGCCGGACGGAAGCCTTTGAGATTTGCACGACGAAGAGAGTTGACTTTCTTGATGAGGAACATCGTACGAAACATTGACTATGGCCCACAATCCCGGTTCGATTTGCTGCCGAAAACGGAGGAAGTAGAATTGCCTTGTTGGCACTAATGCTGAAAGAACCTGCAACTCTTCATACATCTATACCACACACCCAATAAAAAAAAATTACGAACAATTAACACATAGTTACGCGAAGAAAACGAACGTATTTCAATCGCTTAATTAAAAAAAAAAATTCGATTACCAATTGCAATGTGCTACTTTGGCTTCCTAGCATTCCAGATGAGATAACTTCAATAGTTCTTGCCCTTGACACTATTGTAGGAAATAACTCCACCCACTTATTCTGTCATTTAATTCACATAATTTAAAATCGACAACTTATAACCACAAATTCGACTTTCTTCGTTTTATTATTAAAAAAAAATTGAAAAACAATTACTAACCGCATCCATAAACATGTCGACCAACGCTAACGAATTCATTATAACAACACCGGAATCTCTCGAAGCTTCAATCCGAACATTAGGATTTTTCAAGTGATCATTAGGCCTCGGAAAAGTTCTCTCGTAGGTTTCAAGATTGAGCATTTCTCGACCGTCGGATGAGGACTTGATCCAAAGGTGCTCCTCGTTGCTCTGCACTAGCCTGATCAACTCATCCATCGCACTAGCCGCGATATCGGACATTAATGACTTGTCCAAATCGGAAATGCTCAACGATGGGAAGGGCAAATTCGGAATCACGCTCGAAGAACTCCCCGGTAGGAGATCGAGATCGAGATCTAGCGTGGGGCCCGCGTTAATTCCGTGTCCACCGAAACTAGCCATTGATAAATCCAATGAAGATATGTGAATTGGCTGAACTGGTGGCAGCTGTGAGATAGGCCTTCCTATGTATTTTGCAGCAATGCTTGAAACTCTATCCAACTACCAAAAAAAAAAAAATTAAACAAAAATTGAAATAAAAACTTCAAAAATCAAAATAAAATTAGGGTTTGATCAATCAAGATGAATTTTTTTTATAAAAAAAAAATTAGTACCTCTTCTTTCAATTGGGCATTTTCGATTCGCAGTTTTTGTTCGTCGAAATACGAATCTTCAGTGACAGGAGGGCCACCACAAGAAGGGCAGATTATATTTTTTAGGGCTTCTCTAATTGCAATGTTTTCACATCTAATCTTGTCATTATCTGCCCTAAGTGCACAATTATCTGATCTTTCATGCTGTGCCTGAAATTATCAAAATTAAAAAAAAAATATATAAAATTCAAATAGTATATATGACGTCAGCAAAAAAAGATTCAATTTTTATAAAAAAAAAAAAAAAGAAGAAATCAAGAAAACCTTCATCTGAGTTCTTCTGTTTTGGAACCAAAATTTGATCTGCCTAGGATGTAAGCCCAACTCTCTGCTCAACAGATTTCTTGTCTTCTCATCTGGGTGTGGACACTCTTTGAACATTCTAGAAACACACACAAAACACACACACAAAAACCTTAGTTTCATCGAAACCATTTAAAATTAAAGATTCGATTTTTATTTTATTTTCTTGCAAAAAGGGGTGTGCATGGAGTTGAGTTTTGCAGAAATGGGGTTCAGAAAAAGGACATACGATTCGAGGCGTTGAATTTGGTGGGCGGTGTGGCGGTGGTACCGCTTCTTCCTCCGGTGAGGATCGGAGGCATCGCCGCCGCTAGAGCCGCCGCCTCCGCCTCCACCTCCACCGCTGCTGAACTCCATAGACTATATATTAAATTTCTGTAAATGAATAATTAATAATAGAGAGTATTATAATCAAGAAGGTGTTGCAGATTAGATTACTGCATATTCATTCCCATAATACATAACTTTGAATAAATAACTGCACTTACTATATAACAAAAAAAAGATTATATGGTAGGTTGATGAAAAAACAGCACAAAAAATTCAGGAAAATAGAAATAAATTAGAAAAAAAATTAAATAAATGGGATTTGATTATGGAATAAGATGAGCATGTGTAAGTAATTGTATAGCATCTGTCAAGGCACTAGCCATGTTTTCATTTTTGGCAGTGTTGCTAAAGTAACGCCCCAGAAAATCATATATATATATATATATATGTATGTATATATTGTATGTATATATTGTATGTATTAGAAGAGAGGGGGGTGGGGGTGAGGGTGGGGGGTAGGGTGGGTGAGGAGGAGGAAATGGAAATAAAGAGAAATCTTGGGAGGGTGGGAGAGGAAGGTGTGGTGTAATTAAGAGAAAGAAAAGAAAGAAGGAAATAAGAGAGAGAGAGAGAGAGAGAGAGAGAGAGAGAGAGAGAGAGAGATGAGAGAGAGATACAAAAGCCAACCCATAATAATAACTGCTACTATACCTACGTACACACACAAACACACACTGGCTACTTACTACTACACAATTTCTCCTAACTACTGTATTTATATTTTTATGTATGTATCTATGGTGTGTGTGTGTGTGTGGTAAACTTGTAACCGACGGATTTATGATTTATGATTTATTTTTTTCTGATCACACGGTGGGAGAAAGAGAAAAAGGGCTGCAATTAAGGAGGGGGGTGGGGGGTGGATTTTTGTAATAGACTAAACATTTGAAAGGGGTGATGAAAGGGCCATTGTTTTTAGAAATTTTATTTTCTTGATTCTTTAAACTCTTCATTTTCAAGAACCGATTTTTGTTTTGCTTATTTTGCTTTATGTTTCTTTCAATTTTTTTGTATAGGTATTTGCATATAATGTAATATTGAATTAGTGGCTTTTTTTTGTATTTATAATGTCAAATTGAGTTTATGTATATATATATATATATATATATATATATATATATATATATATATATATATATATATATATATATATATAAAGTTAAATGAATTTTTTATCTATACAATATCAATGTGAATGTGTGTTATTGTGTGTGGATAAAAGATAGTATATCTGATATATTTGACCTTGTGCAGCATGAAATAAATCGATTATTGCGTGTGATAAAAATGATCGATTTAATAATGCATTTATGAAAATTAAAAGATTGCTTCTTTTTTATGAAAATTGAAAGATTGGCTTTTTAGTTAGGCAAAGTATATAATACTTGAATTATTAAAAAATAAAAAATAAAGTTAATTACCAAGATTATTTAATTAGTTTTCATGTTGCAAAATTACTATTTTTATATAAAAATAAATAATAATTATTTACAAAATTGACATCCAAATATGTTTTGTAATGTATGAAAAATAAATTCTCTCATGTAAAATGGTTGTTGAATTTAATTTTTTACATATATATATTTATTTTAATTTTCATGACAAAGCAACACAAAATAAATGTAATAGTAAGTGCAATGAACCCCTCATTCAACTATATTAGCACGAAAGTGTATTTTCTCTTCAAATAAATGCTCCCTTTACATTAATTGTCCTTGGAAAAATACTTCTCTCTCTCTCTCTCTCTCTCTCTCTCTCTCTCTCTTCTTTTTTATTTTTCAAATAATTGAGGTAAAAAATGTGTGTGTGTGTGTGTGTGAGAGAGAGAGAGAGAGAGTTCTAGAGAGAGAGAGAGAGGACAAGTGATAGTAGTTATTGGTAGATACAGAATGATAACTCATGGCCAGGTGTGTACAGTTTGGTGTTTTTAATTTCAGGGATGGTAAAACCCGGCCACCACTACACACTATTAATGCGGCCGGCCGCCGCCGCCCGCCGGAGAAACCTTACCTCCCGGAAACACATAATGACCGTTATACCCTTTCTTGTTTTGATACTTTTGCCATGTATTTAATTCTACACACTTTTCAAGAATGAATGGAAAAATAAATATTTTATTTTATAAAAAAAAAGGTCAAAGTTGGAACCTATTTCGGGTGCAACTCTTCAACTCTCCATAGCTCCAATGTGATATACAATTTTTGGTTTAGTTTTTCATTATTTAATTAATTAATTATGCAAAGCACTAAAAAATTAAAAAAAAATTAATAGTAATAAAAGCCCATATTGTAATTAATTGAAAATTTCAATATTAAAATAACATAGCAAGAGAATGTTTTGATGTAATAAAGTATTAGATTTCAATGTTACATGGATATATACTATTTTATTGTAGTAGTGTACTTACTGTACCTATAAATTAATCTTGTTAAAGATGATCATATGAATGTTATTGAATAATTGAAAATTAATGATTCTACATAAATTAATTTTATTAATTTTTTTTTTGACTGATTAAATGAAATTAAAGGCAAATTATGCACCTTGAAATTACTACATATTGGCTTCATAATGAGCTCAAATTAAACCTCAAAGATACAATCATAAAATTTAATTTGTTTCAATTTAATTTATAAGCTATTAATTAAACTTACTAGGATTTTAGTCATAATAACCATTTATACCATAGGGTATAATACATTATTCTTTTTAATTGAGTTAAAAGATTAAAGATATAGATGTATACTTTAATATTTATAAGTTAAAACTTGTGGACAACCTTTAAAGACGACGGAATACTTATATAAACAGTACTGCACGAACAAAATAAATAATCAACCACTAATCCATTATTAATAATAGTCTAATCCATGATCTGATTTAAATTTTAGGAAAATTAATATATGTAGACTAAATCGTTCGCTGCTTTCGGCAACATCGTGCTTGTTACATAAATTAAATTTAGAATACACTATAATATACAATAATATTGATATTACCAAAATAAGAATTACGATAAATAATAACTATCCTTGGAGATATAAATATTAAATATTAAACGATGTATGTCTCTTTTATAATATAGATGTTTTATGTCTTAACAAAATTAGATTAGTTACAAATGCAAAATATACTTGAAAAAATAAATATAATCCATTTTGAAAACCAATAATCATGATTGGTTTAATTTACTCGGATTTAATTTCATAAGGTTCGATTGAATCATAATTTTAATCATAAGATAATTATTTAGTATTTATTAAAAGGCCCAAGATTTTGTCTGGCCCAATCAAATCATTATAGGCCCATTTATAATTTCTTCAGCTCCAATAAGCAAATATGTACAAATGAATTGGATTCTAACTCCTTTTTTTTTCAGTATTAGTTTTATAATAATATAAATAATATATAATAATAAATCATAATAATAAAAATATTTTAATTCCTTTAAAAAATTAAAAATAAACAATTTATAATTAAAAAAATACTAAACCTCTGTAGAAAATTATTTTCACAGATGTATGTACTAATCAAAATATTTGTCCCTTAGGCAAAATATAATATTGGTTAGAACTGAGTTATATATATCTATCTGTCAACTGCTTCTAGAAGAAAAAATATCTAGTGGGCCCGATGAGTCAGCTCGGCTTTGCCGTTTCTTCCGATATCGCCATGCAACTTGAATTCTTCGAGCTGCAAGCCCTCTCCAGTAAGGTGATTCATATCTGTCATGCAAATTATTATTACAGGAGTTAGTTAGTTAGCCATGGTTGATATTTCAGTTAATCATGGTTAGTTAGGCAAATGACAAAACAATTAGAAATTATTACCTAATGGCACCTTGAACACGTGGGCTCCGCAAAAACCTCGAGAAAAGACTCGTAACTTCTTCGAGATCCGATGCTCGTAACACGAATGCTTCTACGTTCGTTAAGCATCTCACTAGCCTGTTGCTCAACAATCTGTGCCCTAGAATCCTCATTCTTCTTCCATCTTGAAAAAAAAAATTATATTTAAAAAATAAGATAATTACAAATACAGGAAAATAGGAAAAAAAAAATGAAAAAGAAAAAATGAAATTGGAATGGAATTTTCGAATTTCGCGGATTCCGATGAACAATTTCATTTTGAATCCAATAGTTCCGATTTTCGATTTCCCCCATTTTTTTTGGAACGAAATTGGAATACATATTACATTCTGATATCCGATCTGATTTTAATTTCCAGAAATTGCATTAAAGGTGACTAAAAGATTGAGAATTCCAAATTACGGTGATTCCAATCCGAAATTTTCTGGGTTTTTGTTTAATGGAATCGAAAATGATTTTTTTACTTCAAGAAAAATAAAACGGAATTTTTCCGAAAGTTGTGATTCTGATTCCGATTTCCACCCCAAGATATACGATACTCGTACCTTTATTTATAGAAGAATGCTCGAGGCACCAAGTGAGGAGTTCTTCTCCACAAACATCCCCTTCCGATAAAGGAACCACGGTTAAATCTTCACCAACGCTCTCCATTTTCCCCCGAATTACGAAAACCATTTTATCAATTAAACCGCCACGGCAAATGATTTTACTTCCTTTTATATATGTTTTTGTTCTCAGCCTTTCGCATATAGCATCTATGATAGGTTCATCGAGCAATTGGAATATTCTGACCTGTAAAATTAGCAGCACCACCAAAATAAAAACGAATCGTATTATTACAAGACATTCTCCGATTAAATTATATTCTAGTTATATTATAATTAGTAAATGAAACTTACTTTCTTGACGAATTTAAAGAGATGGTGACGAATATTTCGTTGAAGGTCTTCTGGTAAATTCTCCATGAGCATTTCCTCATTTACCCCTCTCGTGGCTGCCCAACTAAAACGTTCCGATTCTCGGACTTGCCTGCAAATTAAGAACTAAATAAATAAATAAATATTTTTTAATAAGATCCTAAAAATTGAAAAAGATAAATAAATAAATAAATGAAAGACCTTCTAAGTTCTTCCGGAAGGCGACGGTGGCTCATCCATTGCTCCACGTCACGGCGCCTTAAAGACATTTCTAACCTCCTGAGGAGAAATAGATACAAAAAGTTTCCGTTAATCAAACTATTTTTTTTTTTATTTTGTTTTAATTATTATTTTAAAATAAATATAAACATAGCAGAAAACGTACCTACGACCAAGAGCTTGAAGAAAATTCTGCATATTTCCAATCAAGAGAGCAAAAAGCAAGAGGCCAACTCCTATGATGGCCATAGTGAAAAGTACTTCCCACACGAAATAACTCGGAACTTGATTCCCAGCCAACGTACTAATTTGCTTCGTTATTACAAAAAAAAATAAAAATTAAAATGATGTTAATTAAACAGTGGGAGCACGCCATTTATTTTCAACAAATAAAAAAAAATCAATTTTTGCAAGGATACCTGGAATCCCCAAAATAACGAGTAGACATATCTCGTCATAATATTTGGGTGAGTGGTTAGATCAACTGCATTCTCGTAAATACCATAAGCAAACGCATCTTTTCCAAAACAAGCATTCGTATTCTCGTTTTCTTGCCACTGCTTCCACGTAGGATCAATACCAAACTCGTAAAAATCATCTCCATGACCACAGTCAATAAAATCCATACACCTCGTTATATTCGACCTATGGCATGCATCTCGAAGGCATTGATTTACCCTCTACAAAAAAATATATAAAAAAAAACGTAAGAATAAGTCAATATAGATTAATAAAGAAAATATTATTATAAGGAATTAAAAAAAAAAAAAAAAAAACGAACCTGTAAGGCAAAAAGATACCAGCATGAGCCCACCACATGGCTAGCCAAAACATACGTAAGAAGATTTATAACGAAATTTGCCCATGCAGACTCGAAAATTAAACCCGTTGGAGATTGACCAGCTAGTAGAGGTAAGAATCTATATAGACGAGGAATATACTGTAGGAGAATTGCTGCTCGTAAAAGATTCTTTGCATAATTAGCACCGGTTGCTCCCATGGAATCTGGTAGTATCAATAATATGATGATCTACATTGTAAGTAAAATAACGCAACCCCATTGTAAGTAATTATGAGAAAAATTAATATATGAAGAAATTACAAAATTATGAGGAGAGAATTGATTTTACTTGGGGAAGAGGGAGTACGACGAAAAAGTCGACTATGAAACATCCACTTAGGTAATTGCGAGCAATTTTTTTAGGGTCATCCACTAAATCTCCAGCTCCCATAACTCGAGATTCGGGAGCAACGTAAGCCAACTTGAACTGCAATATGAAAATTTATCGAGCTACTATTACATGATACTATTTAATTTATTATGTATATATGTAAGGCCCCGTTTGGTTGGCAAGATAAGATTAAATAGTCTAATGAAACCTAATTATTTTATTGGAGCTCGCGATGTCCAACAAAAAAAACACACTAGAAGGCAAGATAAGCCCTGATTACATAATTTTGGCGGGTCGACCCGACAATTTATTGGGGATACCAAACATCAAATTAAGTCCAACTATTTAGTTAGTCTTGGCTTATCTTGACAACCAAACGGGGCCTAAGAGAATTGCAAAGAAGTCGACTGGTCAGTTACCTGAAGGAGGATATGAATCAAGTAAATAAAGTCAGTCATGCTCCTCAGAACCACTATTGTCGTCGTCATGGTCCAATTTAATACGATGCACTTATGATCCTGGGAAAATACGAAAGGTTATTACATATGCAAATTTTAAAAAGAATAATAGCGGTAATTTCGAGATGGAATTTTTTTGCATGAAATAATTGCAGCAAAATCCAGCCCCGAACACAGTATTTCACATTGAAGTAAAATAATTTGGAGACGGGAATATACCTTCTGAACAGACAGCAGAAAGAAGAAGAGTGGGTCCAAAAAAATTGCAAACAAACAAGAAATTACGAAGAATTTGCTCCACTGCTGAACAAATTTTGCATGGGGGTTGATGACACCTGGAATATAAAGTTGCAAAGACGAGCACATTCTCTTCGCACAACCTTTTGCATCTCCGTATATCATGTTCTGGGAAATTCAAAACATCATTAGCACATTGTCCAAACCTCAGACGTAATAAGAAGCATAAAATTGACCGTTAAAGGTAGAGAGGGGCTAAATGTTATTTGATTCCGACTTCATATGTGTTTTTTCAGTCCGAATTTGGCAAAACTCAAAGGAACAAATTTGTAGTCCTTTGAGTTGGCTTTCTAATCCAAATTGAATCAGCTAGATTGGATGTCGGGTGAGAGAGTTGTGCATGAACGAATGAACATTGCCCTAACACACAATAAGTCTACTTCAAACGTGATTTTGACCATCTCACAGTTCGAAACTGGAAAAATTCAAACGCGTCGAAGATGTAGCCGTTTGAATTGGCTTTCTAACCCACCTTGAATCAGCTAGAGTGGTGGTTGGCTGAGAAAGTTATTCATAATCTTGCATTACCGTACCGGTAAAATTGAAACGACGTTCAGCATTTCACTTAAAGGTATTGGCAGCTATTTAATATACTATCAAAGCATAATCAGTGGCTGCTAGACTTATACCCGAAGATGATAAAAAAAAAAAAAAAAAAAAAACTTATACCCGAATACGTATTGTTTACTCAATTTCGATTTAAGCAGAGGATAACAAAAACTCCTTCAAAACATTAATATACAGTTAAAAGAGGATAACTGAATACGAGTATAATATAATACCTTAGCATCAAATATATCCGATGTTCTTGAATATTTCTGTCGCCTCTTAACATTGTAATAAGTTGGGCACGTCGTGCAGTACGGATCATTACACATTCCCAGTTGTCCAGATTTCAACAAATTGCCATGTTTGCCCTCAATGGATGGATATATCTCCAATTCTTGATCGGTAATTTTTTGCTCCGAGGCAAGTTGGGGCGGCTCAAAGATGACCTCATGGTTACGAGTGAGATACAGAGGACTGCTCATCGGGACAATCGAAGTTCTCCTTTCGTTTCTCAAAGGGCCTGTGGACCCCACGAGGTTGCTGTCGTTCGACATTGATGCACTCCTCATCATCTTGGTTGTGAAACCACTTATTCTCGTGGCATCGTGTTCGTCTGATTTTATGTTTGTGGGCGACAACATAGGTATATTGTCGTTTTCAGAAGCAACCATGGTTAAAGTGAACTGTCCGGTGCCTGCATGTAGAACAATTGATGTTATGAACTTTTATTGAATACGATGAAATGTGTTTTCGAATATTTTCTTTAAGCGTATGAACAATAACGAAATCTACACTCTGTTTGAAACTTAAGTCACATTAATCTCATTCTAATAAAGGTTGAAATGGAATTGAGCAATTTACAATTTACACGAAGAAACAATTGCACATTTTGCTTCGTTGTCTAACTTCCAGCTTCCGCATTTTACCCCGAAAGACATTACAAAATTATGTGATATAGTAGCATTTCACATAATGCACACACACACACACACACACACACACACAATTAACACACACACACACACACACACACACTATCTTGATGGAATGCTTAATACAATGCCGAAGAGTGCTGATACATATATAAATCCAATTAACTGCAGCAATTAAAATGAAAAAAAAAAGTACAGCAATTAACAAAATAAATCCGAAGAAAAGCACAAAACCAAACAGGAAAATACTATAATTCTCGCAATAAAAAAACACAATACAATTTCTACGAATGATCGCTGAACAAAAGAACCCATTACTCGAAGACCCGAAAACCCGAAACCCGAAAATCCTAAAAGAAAATAAACACACCTGTCACTCAAAGTTGGCAGAGAGTGGAGAATTCAGTTTGCTGCAAACGGACATTCAAAAAAACCAGTATCGAACGAGTGATACAAATGGAACAATCCAATGTAAGTATATTTATATGATATAAATAAGCCAATAATTCCTTTACAGTAGCGAATCGTTTACTGGAGAACTGAGAAAAATCGGCGGCGCGTGTGTTTGTGTGTCAATAGAACAAACAAAAGGTGGACTGAACTGAACACACACAGAGAATGAATCACACACAAATGGGAAGAGGAAGAGACGCACAACCCAAACCCCACACACACACACACGCACGCACACGTGTTTGTGTGTGTTTTTCTTCAGGCCAGGCAACACTTTTTATTTTCTAATTATAAAAACGAATTAAAAAAACGTTTTTAATTGTTTATTTATTAAGGATTCGGCGTGGCGTCCTAGGTTTATTCTCAATTTTTACTTAACCAATAAGTCTCGTTTGATTGCGCGGTCGTGTGAACGAGCCAAACTCGTCTGTATCGGTTTTGGTAAGTTCGAGTTCGCGTTAATTTAGTCGAGCTCAAGCTTAAGATCGTCGAGTTTCTTTTTTTGGCTGAGCTCTAGTTCATTTTATCGAGCTCGAACCAAATCTCATTTTGAATTTTTTTTTACTATTAAATCTTATTAATATTTAATCCAAAATATTTAGATTATAATAAAAAAATCAAAATAAACAATAAAAAATAAAAAAAAAATTAATATTATTTCTATAATATTTTATATTATTATACATTATTTAAATAAAGAATAATATATATCAACAAAGAAAATAAAAAATAAGCCCCTCAGCCGGGTTGTGAGCTCACGACAATTAAAAAAAGTTCAAGCTCGCGAGTTCGAGTTCAAACTTTTTTCAAGATCGCTCATTGAGCTCACGAGCGACTCAACTCGTTTTCCACCACTAAATTTACCTATATCTACTAATTAACTAGTTAATTAATTAATAATATATATTTGGTTCTTTAAATTACATATTATATTAAGTTGTTAGACTATGTTATTATATGCAAATTTTCTACAAAGTCTTTTATTTAACAAAATTAAATTATTGTTTTAATGATAATATTTTAACTTTTCATTTTAGTGGAAATGAATAAAATAATTCTAACGAAATCTAATATATGATATACCTTATTGGGTTGGACCAATGAATCAATTAATTGTATTTAATTTGGGTTTCATCTACAAATAATTAATATCATCAATTTTTGTTATAAGCCCATTAGGTCCTCTTTGTTAATTTAATTTTTTAACAAAAATATAAATAAATTAGATATCTTTTTATAAATTATTTAAAAAAAAAATATTCCAAAATAACAGAGATTATTCTAGAACGCAACTTTCCTACACGGTGGCCGCTTCCATTTATATCTTGTCCACCAAGCAATGACAATATACACAATAAATTAATAATAATAATTCAATTAAAAATACCAAACAGATTCCTCTGTAAATAGAGTTCGAAAACCAGAGGAACAAGCGAATAATTAATAAGGCTTAGAAATTCTTCTTCGTAGAATTTTGTTTCAGGTGTTTGATCAGAGCTCCTTTATTAATTGGGCTTCTGGGTTTCTTACAGAATTAATCATGGTACTTGTCTTAATCTTTTTTATGCAATTTCTTAGCTTGATTTTTTGCTTGATATATGGGTTGTATTTTCCTGTGAGATAAATTTTTATCTGTGTCTTTTTTTTTTTTTTTTTTAGTTTGGTACTGTTTCAGTTGGTATATAATGCTTGAGATATATATGCAGTGGCGGAGGGGGGCCATGGCCCCCAGCAATTCTCGAATCCTTAATTTTTTATGTATGGATATAAAAAAAAGTCGTGTGTAATTAGCATTATCGGCCCCTCCCTCTTCACAACAAATTTGCATTCGGCTCCCGTGAACTTAAAATTCTGGCTCCGCTAAGCTTCTGATGAATTGAATTGGGTTTTTCTAGTATGTAATATATTGGCTTTGATTTGATTGTGCAATTCGGGGTGCATTAAGAAATGTCGGTGTTGATTTTGCGCCTCTATTTTCGTTTTAACTCTCTTCGATTTCGTGCATTTCTTTGATTCAATGCTTTCCATCAGCTTTTATTGATTTAATGAGTTAGAGTTTGGTGCTTAGTACGTTTCTTGGATGCGGTCGAATTGTTGACTTGATATAAAGATCGAACACGTAGAATTTTCTTCTATTCCGTCCGTGTATATATATGTTTCAATTTCTTTGTATTCAGCATTAGATTTTTCATCTCTGTATGCCATAGCGAACTTCTCGAATATAGCTCATCTAAAGGCGGGGAACAAAGACGAAAAACACCGTTTTCTTTCTTAACGTTACGATGGTTATTGTTTTATTTATTTAATTTGCAGGCATCGCCTATAGTAATAGGTGCTACGGTCGGAACCGCTGCATTGGGAGCTAGGTATTTGATGAGAGCATGGCAGGCCTTTAAAGCTCGCCCCGTAATTCCGCGCGCACGTAGATTTTATCCAGGTGGATTCGAACAAGTCATGACAAAACGAGAGGCCGCCTTGATTCTTGGAGTGAGGTAAACAAAAATTTCGACTTCTAACCATTTTCTTCGGTTATTTATATTCGTATGCCCGTATCTAATATTTTTGTCCCGTTTTTTTCGTTTTCGATTAGGGAACGTGAGGTTCTACAGAAGATAAAGGAGGCGCATAGGAGAGTGATGGTGGCGAACCACCCCGATGCTGGCGGCAGCGATTTCCTTGCTTCGAAAATAAACGAAGCTAAAGAGATTTTGATGAAGAAAACGAGTGCAGCGGGTTCCGTATTTTGATACTCGAAAACTCGAAAACGAAGCATCTTGAATACTATTCGAATTTTTTGTATTTTTTACAGAAAATACTATTTGATATTTATTGAGTGTCTTCATTATCCAACAATTCTTCTAAATTTCATAATTAATAATTACTAATTTAATAATTGAAATTAATTAATATTTGAGGGTTTATTATTAGTTCATAAAGGTATCTCATATCTGTATGTATTATAAATTCACCATTGAAGAAACTTGCTGCGCAGCACAGAATAAAAGAGTTAATTGCAAATACCACCCCTGTGAAATCTCTAATTGTCAAATACCCCCCTGTCAAAAAATAATTCGCATATGCCACCCTGTGTAACAAAAGTCAAGGCATGGAGACCCCTCGGAACAAATCGTGCCCCTCACGCGCTGCTAATGCGATTTTTTCTCCCCTTTTGCGTATGAAATGTCAGAAACACCCCCAAAGCCTTTTTTTTTCTTTTTTTCCCTTCTCTTTCTTTCCTCTCCTTCCTTCTTCGTCTTCCTCAAACCCACCCCTTTCTTCATCTTCCTCAAACCCACCCCTGTCAAACCTGTAGAAAAATCTTCCTGTAGAACCCATAGCCCAAAAAATCTGTAGAAACCACTGACATAAGTACTTTATAGGCTCTGCAACTCCAAGGATCACCGTTGCCGCCGCCGCACCGGTCTCACAACCCACCGCCGTCGCATGGCAGCGACCTCAATTGTGAGAAGATTGTCCAATCCTCCATATTTGGTAGATTTATAGGAAGAAATCGAGAGATAGGCCAATTTTATTTTTTCACTGGGCCATTAAAATGAGCGGATTAAATGTAATGTTGAAATTTTTTGCTTGGGGTTTGTGGGTTGGATCTGAAGAAGATATGGTGGTGTTGGTGGTGGTGTTGGTGGTGGTGACTGGTGAGCTTGGTGATGGTGGTGGTGGTGGTGACTGGTGAGCTTGGTGATGGTGGTGGTGGTGGACTGGTGGTGAGCTTGGTGGTGGCACAGTAAGGTGGGGTAGTGCGTGGGGGGTGGTGCTGAACAAGATTACCAAAGACGACTTATTCTCATTTTTTTATATATTTTTAATTTTATTATTATTATTATTATTATTATTATTATTATTATTATTATTATTATTATTTTGAATTTTTTGTTTAAAATTGAAAAACTATTAAAAAAATCTTAAAACACTAATATGATTTACTAATTACAATAAAACTCCAGGGCATTCTCGTCTTTTTATGCTTGGTCAAAGATTAAAATGACAATAGGTGCAGTGTGCTTCAAAACATGTTACACAAGGGGATATCTGTGAATTTTTTTTTGACAGGGAGGTATTTGACAATTAGAAGTTTCACAGGGGTGGTATTTGCAATTAACCCCAGAATAAAACCCCAAAAGGAAAAAAAAAATGCTATGCTGCAAATTTCTGGGTTCAACGCCATTGTCTTCTTCACCAATCACCACCACCATCAACAGCGCGAAACTATTTTCAGACAAGAAAACCTCGTACCACTGTACAGCAACAAATTGTTCGATTAAACCCGACGTTTCAATGGATTCCGCCGCGAAAACTCACGCGCCGCCGACGTTCGAATTTCTATCGAAGAAGACTTACATCCCGCCTTCATGGGCAGCCCACCTCAATCCGGTGCCTTCTCAAATCTATTCATTGGGCCACGTACGTTTAAAGATTCAATTTTTATTTTTTAATTACTGTGTTTTTGTAAGAAATAATTGAGGGTTTTGAGCTGATTATTTCACAGTTTCCGACCCCAATTCACAAATGGAACCTTCCTAATTTGCCCAAGAACACCGAGGTTTATCTCAAGGTAATCATTCTTCTTTATTATTATCCAATTTATTGTTGATTTTTCTAGGTTATGAATTGGGTATTTCAGTGATGGATAATTAGGTAATTATGCTTCTTGATTCTTTTTCAATTGTTGAATTTTGTAGCTCATGAATTGGGCATTTGAGTGATGGGTAATTATTCAAATAATTTATTTCTTTATTATTTATTGAATCCCATAATTGAATTATGTAAAATTTTGCAATTTATTCAAATAATATGTAAAATTTTGCAATTTTTCATAGCGAGATGATCTTTCGGGGATGCAATTAAGCGGTAACAAGGTAAGAAAACTCGAGTTCTTAATGGCAGAAGCGGTGGCAGAGGGAGCCGACTGTATTATAACTATCGGAGGAATTCAGAGCAACCATTGCCGAGCCACTGCTGTAGCTGCCAAATATTTAAATCTCGACTGTTATCTTATACTACGCACTTCAAAGGTACGTAAATACTTCGTTTACGCCACCAATTTTTTCTCGGAATTTTTTCGTACTTACATTGGTTATTATCGCATTCTTGATTTTTTATAGGTTTTAGTGGATAAAGATCCTGGTTTGACCGGAAATCTCTTAGTCGAACGTTTGGTCGGAGCACATATTGACCTTGTTTCGAAAGAAGAGTACGCTAGTGTTGGGGCTGTGGTAAATGTCTATTTTACCCTTCATTCTGATAGGCGATAATTATAATACTATTTAACCGTTTTTTTTTTTTTTTTTTTTTTTTAATACTTTCTTGAATTGTGCTATAATCAGGCTCTTACGAATATTCTGAAAGAAAAACTGTTGAGTGAAGGGAGAAAGCCGTACGTAATTCCTGTGGGCGGATCAAATTCGTTGGGGACTTGGTAAAAAAAAGATTGCATTTTTTTAAACTGTTATCTATATGTTCGGTATTTTTTTAAAATGGTTTATTCAGCTCAGTTTTGTGCGTGACGATTCGTTAGGGGCTATATTGAAGCAGTTAGGGAGATACAAGAACAGCTGCAGAAAAACGGGGGCGAGCTAGCGTTTGATGACATCGTGGTAGCTTGTGGAAGGTGTAAGACTATTTCTAATTTTAATTTGCTAATTCGTGTTTAATTAGTGTAATGTTGTTAATCAATTTTTATATCTTTTTTAATGTATCGAATGATTTTTCAGCGGAGGCACGATTGCTGGTTTGTCGGTTGCATCTTCTCTGAGTAATTTGGGAGCTAAAGTACATACAATACATACTATTTTCTCTATCTTTTTCTGCTTTTCTGCATCAAATTGGAAATTGCCCCCCCACCCCCTCTTTTTTTTATTTTTTTTATTATTTTTTGTTATAAATATCTAAGTCATAAATGCAGGTCCATGCTTACTGTGTGTGCGACGATCCAGAGTATTTCTATGACTACGCTCAAGGCCTACTCGATGGACTTCAAGCCCGTGTTAACTCGCGTGATATTGTTGAAATAAAAAATGTGAGCTCCTTTTTTTTTTTTTTTTTTTTTTTGTAATTTTGATATTTTAATTACTAGTTTTATACTTTCCTTGCCTTGTCCAAACGCAATCGATTAATTAAGACTAGTTTTATACTAGTTTTTTGAAATAGAATCAAATATATAAATCAGCAAAATTAAATTAAATTATAAGTGATAAAAATTCGAACTGAAGTAGAAATACGATTAAATACGTATATATATTACTCATCAACTAATTATTCCTATATAATTTACTGTTCCCCGTACAATATACGATTCATTAGGATTTTCTTACGTAACTGTATATTTAAAATGTATATGCTAAATCCGATGATTATCTCTCCCACCTCTCACCACAGGCCAAAGGTCTCGGTTATGCTATGAATACGGAAGAAGAGCTAAAATTTGTCCGAGAAATTGCAGAATCGACTGGCATTGTTCTTGATCCAGTCTACAGGTATAATAATTAGTTTATTTCGAATTCGTATTTCTGCGACATTTTTAATTTATTTATTATTATTTTATTTTGAGTTATGCAGTGGAAAAGCGGTTTACGGAATGATGAAAGACATGGCTGCAAATCCCGAAAAGTGGGAAGGGAGAAAAGTGCTTTTCGTTCATACGGGTGGACTTTTGGGCTTATTTGAAAAAACGGAGCAGATTATTCCGCTGCTTGGGAAATGGCGTAGAATGGATATACACGAATCTGTTACTCGAAAGGAAGGCACCGGAAAAATGTTTTAAGCATTTCGGAAAATTAGAATTTCTGAAGCAGGAAAATAAAGAACTGCAAAAATTAATAAGAAACCGTTTTGCTGCTGTCTGATTCTTTGCGTATGCTGATGTGGCGATAGTATCGTAACTGGTTTTTATCGTTTTCTCCGGTTCGTTTCATGATGTATCTTTTGTGGACATTTAAATGTTATCGATACTGTTATTATTATGAAACGGTATCGGTAAAATTCAATTGACATTTAACACCTCACGACTTTTCTCGTTAGTGTAAAAATAAACGGGAGAAGTTACTGAAAAATGATTGAGAAATTTTCGATTTGATTCACCCCTTTTGGGCCTTTATATCTTTGGGCTATTCGAGTCATTACCTGCACTTGGTCTACGCCTCAAAATTGGAACTGAACTTCTGATTTCCCCCCGATTCAAAACCGTCCTTTTTTCTTTTTCGGTTTTCGAACAACATTTTCATTCCGATTTCCGATCAATTTTAATTTCCAAAAAATAAAATAAAATAAAAAACTCTGTAATTACGCTTAGAATATCAATATTAATTCATTATGTATTTTATATTTAGGTGACTAAAAACTACAAATTTTATGAATGACGTCGAGTTCGATACAAACATTTTAAATGTTGGAAAAAAAAATTATTCCGATTTTCCGATTTTTTTCAATTTAATTGGAATTTGTTTTACATTTTCAAACAAATTGATTTTCCCGTAAATATTAATTTCGATCCGATACATCCGAATTTCAATGAAAAAATAGCCCATAAAAGCCCATCATAGAAATAATTAATTCCCGCCATTTTTTTCACTCTCTGAGAATAGATCTGGAAAAAGCGGCAGCTTGCCTCCATTTCTCAGCCGCCCAAAAACTCCAAATTTTATTTTCTCACACACACAAACACGCACTGCAAATTCTTCTGAATCCGCAGGTTCAGTTTATAGTCTAGAGAGAGAGAGAGAGAGTAGCATTGAAGAGAGAGAAAAGATGAGCAAGGCAATGAGAAACAAAGTGCAGAAGAAATTCAAAATGAGGGGTTATACCCTCAAAATTGACGCCCTAACCGAAATCCTAGGGTTCCTCAGCCGCTTCCCTGAAGCTGAAGACGAAGCCCTCGACCTACTCCTCGATGAGCTCCACCACATCTCCCGTAATTCACCACAATTGTTTTTTAATTTTTTAATTTAAAAAAAAAATCATGCTTCGAGAACTAATTTTCTACATTTTTAGTGAAATCATCGATATTGGATAAGGAACCGGTGCTAAAAGTGGTGAGTCTTTTGCTGGAAGCTGAGGCTGCAGTGGAGGAGAGTCCGACGAGTAGCGGTTATGGCTCCGCTGGTTCTGCTTTGAGAATAATCGATGCTTTCGATTTCCCCAAGTTTCGATACGATCCAATTAAGAAACTGTTTCACAAGTAAGCCATATTGTTTTGATAAAATCCGTGTTAATTTTCTTTAGCCGTATGTGTTTGTCTTAATTGTGAATTTATGAAGAAGTTCTGCTGATGATGGAGAGGGTTTAACCGTATGTTGTCTTAATTGTGAATTTATGACGTAGTTATGCTGATGAAGGAGAGCCTTTACTTTATTGTTCAATGTTAAAAGATGATACTTAATTATCAATATTTGTTTTTGTTAGGTTGGTTTTTCATCTTATATAGGGGGGTAACGCATTTAATTATTCCGTGTAAACCTGTTTTAGAACTGTATCTCATATGCCAAATTACGAAAGGAAGAAAGTCTATTGTGCCCTAACTGGATGAAATAGTCTCTTATTCCTTTTACTGTTTAGCGATGACCAAATTATCACCAAGAGTAGTTGAGCATCTATCTCACCGCTCCCAAGATTCTTTGATGTCTGGGCTTAATGTTCGGAAGTCTCCTGCATAGACAAATTGTATATGCAGAATGCACCTTAATTTTCAAGAGTAATTTGTCAGTTAATTACTTAGAACTAGACTAGGTGAGTTCACAAACGTAGAGTGTATACATTGTCGCTGTGTAATTACTCTAAAAAGGGTGGATTTAGACTTCCCGAAGTTCATGAATTTGTTCATGAAATATGCATTTTTATAGGTGTGTAACTTGGTCATTACACTTGAGTTTTCTTACATGCATCATGTTGTTTTTATCAAATTACTGCTGGATACATTTACTTGATGTGATTAATGGGTTTTAAGTTCATTTCATTTGAAATTTTTGGCACTTGTCTCTTTTAAATAGAGGAAGGATCATAATGGTTGATTTTCTAAGGTATAAGTTCATGTAATTAGCTTTGCACACTTCCAAATCTTTTAATCAAACTTTATTTAAAACTTTTGTAGACTCACGGGGAACCTTCCGATTCATGGTGATGCTTCTGCAAAGGTCATATTATACAGGGATAGGTTTCTTTTGTTGTCTCAAAGTCTCTCTCGTGACCCCCATTTTTCTAGGCCTGTTTTTGGTAATGATATATCCGATTATGGTAGCTGCCAGGTACCCCTGCCTCTCACCACCTATGCAAGCATCTAGTGCTCGAGATTAGCAACCTTATCCATCGAGACTTGATGTTTTCGTTTTGTTTTCAGATATCCCCAATTCAATCTCTGGTTGGTCAGACAGGAAAAAAATGGGTGATGGGCCTCATATCTCAGTTGGAGGATGGTCATTTCTACTTGGAAGACTTAACTGCAGCTGTGGAAGTTGATTTATCTAATGCAATATCCTTTACTATAAAATAAAACTCTTCTCTAATTGCTTTTCTGGTACTTTTAAGTGGTCAAAAGATAGAAGTTTGGCAAGATTTTCAAAAGAAAGAACTTGACAAATTGCTGTAACAAGGTTTGAGGTGCTTTGTAATCACCATTTGTTGGTAGATTTTCGTGGGGGTTCGCCCCTTGCTCTTTTCTCTATTCTTTTGTTTCCACAAAATCTGGTGTTTTGATTTGGCATTTTATTTTCTTGGTCTCCATTTTAGTTTCCGGCTAACTGTCTGCTAGATGTAAAATGGATAAATATGTGAAGGTATGCAGTTTCCTTAACATGAACTACAGAATAACAACAGGGTTCTTTGCTGAAAACACGATAGTCGTAGCAGAAGGCGAGATGCTCTTGGATGGTATCTTTCAGGTTTGTGTCTGTTTCTCTTTGGAACTTTTTGACACTATAAATGCCCTCATTGATTGTGCATACACCTGGGGAACAAATAACTTTTCGTTATTTATACTGTTACTATGTTTTGTAACCTGGTTTAGATGATTTGTTCGATAGCATTAAAATGCACTGCACACTGCAAAGAACATTAGTTCATTTTGAAGTTAAACTGAGTATAGGAAAATATTAATCTTAAACCATAAACTTGTGGCCTTGGATTCTCACCAAATTTGGCCTCTAAACCCGATATGTGAAATCCGTTCTGGTCCAGTAAGTATTGGTTGCAAATTGATCTGCAGGTGAAAACATGCGGATTTCCTCCATTAGAGGAACGAGAAAAGTCAATGGCAATGTTTTCAGGGATTGATTCATTTGGTGGTGGTTCACTCACTAAAGAAGAGACTGTATCCTTCGAAAACCTTCTGACAGTGACAAAAAAATAACACTTCTCTTATCTACAACGTAAATTGTGATTGTATATCCCTAACACTGGCAACAGATTAGACTTGAAGAGCTGGAAAAAGGAGCAGTCAATGACATGTTTGTGATACTATCTGATGTTTGGCTGGACAACGAGGAGGTAATCACTCCCCCAATCTCTCCTTTCTTGCTTGATTATTTATTTAATCATGTTTCGTTCGTCTTATAAATATGATGTACTTATCGCTTCATTCTCCTTCCTTAGAGAAGACTATGGGAAAGCTCGAGACAATCCTCGGTGGTTATGAGAACGAGACTGTGGTTCCATCTCTATTTGTTTTCATGGGAAACTTTTGTTCTCACCCATGTAACCTTTCCTTTAATTCTTACTCAAGCATCAGGTGAGAGTTCTCTGTTATTTTTCCCATTGTAAGTATTATAGTAAACGGAGATAGTGAGGGTAATAGACGATACGTGTCCTATGCAGATCTCTGTTTGGGAAGCTAGGAAGAATGATTGCAGTTCATCAACGCCTAAAAGAACACAGCAGATTTCTTTTTATTCCCGGGCCTGACGATATAGGTGATTTGCGTAATTAATTTTCATATTTACTCGATATGTGTGGCACATTTATCAAGCGTAAACATGAACCTTTTTATTTTATTTTATTTTCAGGGCCTTCGAATGTTCTGCCCAGATGCTCGTTGCCAAAATACATTACCGAAGAGCTTCAAAATCTCATTCCCAATGCAGTTTTCTTAAGTAATCCATGCAGGTATTTTACAGAGCACTCGAGACTAGTTCATCATTTTTTTCCTTCTTATTTTCTCGCGGAACTTAGTTTAATTCTTTTGCGCTGAAAAACCAGAATCAAATTTTATACCCAAGAAATCGTATTTCTTCGTCAAGACATGCTTTACAGAATGCGGAGATCATGTCTGATGCCTCCATCATCTGAAGAAACGAGCGATCCTTTTGAGCATGTTAGTCTTTTCTTCTACACTGATAATTAACTGTAGATTTAACAAATAAAAAAACGTAGATTGGCTGGAAATTAATCTTATCGATTTTTTTCTTTTTCTGCAGCTTGTTGCCACTATAACGCACCAAAGCCATTTGTGCCCTCTGCCTTTGAGTATACAGCCCATAATCTGGAACTTCGATCACTGTCTTCACTTATATCCAACTCCGCATACAGTAATTACTTTCTTTAGTCGCGCGACTATGAAAAAAAACAATCAATTTCTTTAAAATCAAATTAAAGCCTTTTCTTTTTGTTTAATTCGTGTCTATTTCTATACAGATAGTCTTGGGGGATAGAAGTGAGCAGAAAGCATTCAAATACACAGGGGTTACATGCTTCAATCCCGGTTCCTTCTCAAATGACTTCACTTTTGTGGCTTATCGGCCTTGCTCTCAGGAAGTTGAACTATCAGCCGTGTAAGTACATATGTCGATTAAGTGCACACATGTTTTTTTTCCAACTGTTTATTATTTATTAATTATCACCTAGTTCTTGGAAAGTTTAATTTATCAGTTATGTAATCCTAGATTTCACTACACAATAGTTCGATCTGCAAGAACTACTTTCCCATTCTTCTTAATTTTTTCCCTTAGAAAAACTTACTGCACATGTATTATCTTCTTTGTAAGTCAATAATATCCTAACTAGTGCTCATATTTTGTGTTCATTTTAACATCGTATGAAAAAACTTGTCAATTTTGTCCACATGAAAAATGTTGAAACGTAAACGCCAGGTAACTATGGTTTAGTAATTAGTTGCATATTGACCGTAATAAAAGCCGAGATGAGTATATTCTTCGAGCACTAGATTTTCTACGTGGTATGAAATGTGCTGCCATCAAATCTGAGACGGATGGTTCATTTTGATTGGTGGACGAAACTTTCGTTCGGTTAATGGAATTGGTTCTTGAGTAATTTTGAAAAAAATTGCAACTTAATCTCTTTCTGTGTGGACAAAAAATGTAGTAAAATCACAGTGATTTTCGATACTTGAGCCGAAAGGTATGGTTTTGAGTGCATTTCTTCAACTCACTATTATTACTGAAATACTTGTGTCATATAAAATTGTAGTTAACTTCTCTTTACTAGCAACTCTATTACACATGATTTAGCTTTAACCTAGATATCAGAAGTACACAAATTATGAATAAACTGTTAAGATATATATGTGTGTGTGTGTATATACTATATATTATATATATGTTTATGTCTTTGTCTTAGGTATGATTGCAATTTGCAACCAAAAATAGAAAAGTATGGATAGGTAAGCAGAAGTTGGGAGGTGTTAAATTCCTCAAGTTTAGTATTAAAAGTGGAAAGTATCAATGTCCAAATAATGACATCATTTCTTACATCCTTGTCTTCTACCTACTAGTACTATATATCCCATTATATATATAATATAGCCACAAAATGTGACTTGTACTCAATAAAACAATTTATTTATTTATTTTATGTTTAAATTAAATCTTATAAATTAATTAACTCATTGATCCTAACAAATACTCTTCAAAGGTACCTAATTTTTTATATTTAAATTACCAGAACAAGCTTAATTCATGAAACACAAATTATGAGTAATGATTGCAGTAATATGTCATTAACTCAGGTGGTTGTACTGTTAAATTGCTCCTTAAAAAAAACGAAGATTTGTCGCTTCGAATAGTTCGAATGTTAGCTTTCATGTGGTGCTGCAGTTGACATGTTCATTTAACTTCTTCACTCAGAAATCATTTTCATGCCAAAGTTCTCTCTCTCTCTCTCTCTCTCTCTCTCTCTCTCTCTCTCTCTCTCTCTCTCTCTCTCTCTCTTATATATATATATATATATATATTTTTTTTTTTTTTTTTGAGAAGTTAATGGGGGTAAAATTGATGACTAAAAAGTGCAAAAAAATAAAACTATTGTGTTATTTAATATTATTTACTGATATACGAAGAAATGTAGTAGGTAAAGCTGGTGAACAGTTTCACAAGTATTCCATGGCAAAGACTTAATTAAATCATACTAATTATCTCAATTCTCAATCAATTAGTAGCTACACAATCTTGATTATTGACTGTTTATTAATTTTATGACCTTAATTGATTTTCTATATTATAATTATTAATTAGGAAAACTTATTTTTTTTTAAATTAAAGTTCAATTTAAATAATAGAAAATTAGAAAGATGGGTGAGAGTGGTAGGCCAACAGTCAAAAACAAGTCTTACTTCGTGTAGAAAAAAGTTTCCGTTTTGGAAGTTGAGAACTAAGTTCTGTTTGGCCTACGGCTAGTGACTACCACTTATAAGTTTTAATATATATATTGGTGTATGACAATTCAACTACATTGGAATTAATTAGTAGTTTATTACCCAAATTCAAGTTGCAATAAGTAATTTCAAGATTGTCTTTGTAATGCTTATCTAAGTGAAGTTGGTTTTAAGCGTTAATTTCTAAAAGTTGGTGGCGTTTGTAAATACACTGAAAACTAAAATTAAAATACAGGTCGATTTGTGCTTTTATAATTACAACTTAAATCAGCTTATTTCAAGAGAAGCAAAAACAAAAAATAATTTGACAAACACCTTAAAACAGATTATGAACAAAAATAAATTCATAATCTATTTTTAAAAACTTTTGCAAACACTATGTTGTTATGCACTTAAGTTCAAAAAAAAAATAATAAGTTTTTAGCTTAGTGTGAAAGTTAATTTGAATTCAATCCACAATTCGATTCCACTACATTAACTGAATAGTTCACATTTAATCACAATCTTATATTAATTTACACTTTAATATTTTAATGAAGGTGATCTTCCATATTTAATTAATTGTGTTGTCATTTTAAAAAAAAAATTATGATTGTGTGGTCGTTTTAGTTAGTTAGGGTGGACAAGATTTCATTACATAGATCTGTTGATTTGTCATTTTTGTTAGGAATTTGGTTTGGCATATTTGAATTGCTATATAACTAAATTCCCAAATTATTTTGTTGTTATTAGTCAATTTATTAATTAATTAACTATGTCCACAAATGTTTGTTTCTTGATTTCCTAATTATTTACATGATTTAATGATCAATAGCAAATTAATAGTTGATATATAATAATATTTATTTTTTGAATATATTTGTATAGAAATATATAAATAAAAACTTATATGTTTATATAACATATTTATAAACATACCCCTATACATTTAATATTTATACGTTTCCCCCAAAATCATGTATCACATTTTTCGACATCCCGTTTTCCCCTGCCCGTTTCCCGGTTTTCTAGTATTACCGCCGTTTCCGTGTCCGTGCTACATAGTCAGTGATCGGTTTATTTATGCATGATTTGAACATGACCTACATATAAAATTTAACATAAATCTCAAAAAAAAAAAAAACACTCAAATAGGGAGAAAATTAATGATTAATTAAATGGTAATTAATCATGATATATTTTATAATATGTCCACGTGCAATATTGGAGAAATATATGTTGTAGGCCAATATTTAGTTAGGTTTTGGAAAGGTGATGAAGACCTAATAAAACCTCATACGTATTTCTTCAGCTTGCAATTAAGTCTCTAACAACAATACCAAACTTTTCCATTCCACAATATTTTATTTATTAAATTTAATAATATTAAATTATCAATACATGCATGCACAAGTAGTACCCCTACATGTACAGCTCAATTAAATTAACTATTTGTTTAATTTAAGCACGGATTTTATCTATCGCAATTAGGGTTTACGATACTAGTTAATTAGTAGTTTAATTCTCATTTAGGTTGGAATAATGAGGATTTTAATTAGGAAATTTTTTAATTAAATAATGTATATATATATATATATATATGTGTATGTATTGCATGCAGAGTTAGAAAGAAAATAAAGAGAAATAAGTGCTTAATTGGTGGGTATTGTAGGTTAGAATTTGAGGAAAGAAAAGATGTTGAGAGGAGAGCGACATTTACCCCACCAAGCAACCTTCTATTTTCTCTCTCATCAATATCATCTCCAGCTCTAGAGAGATTAAACGAATATATAGATAGATAGATACAGCATCTGTATGTATATACACACACACACAGTAGCAGTGCTTGTTAGCCTAGATGTTGCATCAATGGGTGGTGTTGGTGTCTCTCTCTCCAAATTTCCGCCCACTCTCTCTCTCTAAAGGAAAACACTTGCTTATCTAATTATTATTAATTAATTAATTAATCCTTTTTCTAATTATTTAATTCCCATTACTGTATATCTCTGCTTTAAATTTGCCTCATCTTTTTGTCATCTTCTTCTTCCTCTTCAACTTTTCCTTCCCTTTTTGTTGATCATATTTTGAATCGAAACCCTAGTCTGGGTTTTGATATATATATATATATATATATATATATATATATATATATATATTGATTTTAGAAGTTTGGTGCTGGAGAGAGAAGAAGCTAAGGGAAGAAACTATCTGTGCTAGCTGGATATATATATATATATATATATATATATATATATATATATATATAGGGTTTCTTAATTGAACTACTGCTCAAGGAGAGAGAGAGTTGTAGAGAGAGAGAGGTGGGAAGATCGGATCGGAGATGTGTAGTAGAGGTCACTGGAGGCCGGCGGAGGACGAGATGCTCCGGGAATTGGTTGAAAGATATGGTCCTCATAACTGGAACGCCATAGCTGACAAGCTTCAAGCCAGATCAGGTCATCATCATAACTCTCTCTCTCTCTCTCTCTCTCTCTCTCTCTCTCTCTCTCTCTCTCTCTCTCTCTCTCTCTCTCTCTCTCTCTCTCTCTCTCTCTCTCTCTCTCTCTCTCTCTCTCTCTCTTCTGTTACTGTTGTCTAGGGTTTAGATTTGGATCATGATCAAACATGTAAGATTAAGTTGTAGTTTATTTCTGCTGTTTTAAAACCTCTTCATATTTAGTTACATCAAAATAATATCCATTTAACATATATATATATATATATATATATATATATATATATATATATATATATATATATATATATATATATATACACATGTGAACTTGGATGACTTTAGTTTAAAGCTTCAAATTTCAATAGCTTTTAGATGCACATATAATATATGAACATATACACACACTATATATGTAATTAAATTTATTTTGAAGAATATATATATATTATTGTTGATGAGAAATCTGAATTAATTAATTAATGTGCAGGGAAGAGTTGTAGGCTGAGATGGTTCAACCAATTGGATCCAAGAATAAACCGAACCCCATTCACGGAGGAGGAGGAAGAGCGGCTACTCGCCTGCCACCGCATTCACGGTAACCGGTGGGCCATCATAGCCAGGCTTTTTCCGGGAAGAACCGATAACGCCGTCAAGAATCACTGGCATGTTATTATGGCTAGAAAATGCAGAGAAAGATCGAAATTTTATAACGCCCCCAAAAAAAATAGTACGGATTTAAATATTAATTCACAGCCTCCGCCTCCTTTGAGTATCCGCGAGCACCAATTCGAATCGAGTACTACTAAATCCTCGTCGATTATAAAGCGTGTCGACGGTGATCGAAATTCAGCAGTTTGCAGCAGTAGGAAAAAAATAGGGTTCATAAGCCCTCTTGTTGAATCTGCAGAGAAATTCAATAATCCAGATTATTATTATTATTATCCGTCGCCGAGATATAATTTCCAGTTTCAGGGTTGGAATAAGGAGATTCAGTATTCTCAGGGGCCGATTCGTCGGGCGAAGATCGATCAAGGTAATAAATATTAATTAGTTAAATTATATATATATGCATGCATGCATTAAATCAAGATTAATTTGTAAATTTATAAAATTTAAGATCTTTTATTATCTTGAAATAATAATAATGCAGAAAGAAGTAAAGGAGTAGAGTTCTACAACTTTCTCCAAGTGAACACCGACTCGAATACGAGCGAAGTGATAGACATGCATGCAAGAAAATGTAGTAACCCTAAAAAAAACGAAGTCGAAGAAGAAGAAGAAGTCGATCAAAAAGCCGACGACGACAACAATCAAACGAAAGCCAATCCTGCTGCTCTGCCATTTATAGATTTCTTCTCATTGGGAGGCTCTTCTTGATTGATACATATATATACATATATATCTACAGAAATTCTAACTAGTTCTAGGATCTTTATATATATATATATATATATATATATATATATATATATATATGTATGTGCATGCATTAACAGAATGTTTGTGGATGTATCTATAGATTATATCTGGTATATATACTTGTATCGTCCATGCATATTAATTATGTACTATACTCTAAAAGATGAAGTTTTTTTCTATTTTATTTGATCATGTTACTGTTTGATTGACTGTTTATTATTATAAAAAAAAAATATAATATTTAAGACTAAAGAATAATTAATGGATTTATATTCCAAATTGACATATATTAAACATCAATTTATGAACGATATGGAAACATAATAATAATAATAATAATAATAATAATAATAATAATAATAATAATAATAATAATAATAATAATAATAATAATAATTGTTTGGTTTATTTTCAAATTAAACTGATTTCCTGTAATTTGAAATTTTCTGCCTGTATTTTTATTTTTAATTCCAATTATTCTTAATCTTTTTACTTTTAATTCCAATTATTCAAGTAGTTCTAATTCTGCTCCAACTAAATCACGTAGTTCTAATTTTGCTACAATTTGAAGTCTTCTCTCTCAACTACTATATATATATATATACATGTACAAGCCAAATATTTCACGGTGAACAAACACAAATTGAGAAAAACACAATTCATTGCTTAGGATTAATAAGCAGAAAAAAAATATATATATTGATAGAAAGATGACGACTAGGGTTTCTGCAGATGGTGGTGATGAAGGCTACAATGGCGACGACAGTGAGTGGATCCTACTCGAAAAGGAGATTTCCAGCTCGGTCAACTCTGATCCCGATAAGGTCAACTCCGAAGGACAAGAAGAATATTACAAGGTCGATCCTTTCGACTTCTCCGACGACGACGATGAGTGGAGCCAACTCGAAAAAGATATTTCCAACGTCGTCAACTTAGGATGTGATTGGCCACAAGAAGATTATTGCAAGGGTAGTTTCGTCCTTTCCAACTATAACCTAATGAGTGATTATCCATTCACGTCGGACGACGACGATGAGTCGCCGGTTATAGGGACGACCAAGAATGAAATCGTGTGCATCCATTACGTTGGACACCGAACATGGATCGTATGTCAGTTCGTAAGTCATTCGATGAGGATATTCAAAAGAATGTACCGCAAATTCGAGAACCGTGATTCGTCTCTGTTGACCGCGGAGTACGATGCGATTAGAAGTGCGCGTAAAGAAATCAAAATTCGAAGATTTGTGAAGTACTACTTGGCGTATTACGTTATGTTGAAAGTTGGGGTTTGCCAAGGACGTGATCGGATTCCAAGATCAGATGATGAAATTAATTGTTGGGGCGACGAAGAAGAATCCAATGTCGAAGCCTTGTTTTTTTCGACTATTAAAAAATTAGACCAGAGAGTCTTCAATAGGGGTTTCGAGCTACAAAAATTGGAGATATTTTTAGATGAAACGATCGAAAAACTTAGGTAATTAATATGTTTATGTCATGCATTGTTAACATGTTATTTTTCCTATTTTATTTCCAAGTCCTTGTTCTTTTAATTTTTTTTTTTTAATTCTTCTATCTTTTTTTCCTAGCAGTTTGAACTCGGTCAACTCTGATCCTGACGTAGTCAACGCCGAAGAAGATGAAGAAGATTATAAGGATGCTTTCTACTCTTTCGGAGACTTTGATTCCAACCAACGGGAATGCGTGCAACCTCGAAAAGAAGAAGAAAAAATCAGCAACAAATTTACCGACAAAATCACCGACGCGGATGATTTAAGACAACCCATAGATCGTGTTTTATCCGGTGGCAATGCATCCCAATTGGATCATGCATTGGGGAGAAGTTGGATCATGTACGATTCGGTAAATATATTAAGAGAGGTGTTTCTAAAAATCCAAGATCGCGATTTATTTTTCGAGTTCGTGACTAAACACAAATCCGAAGTGAAAAGAGTAAGTCAGAAGATCGATGAGAGCACTATCGAACTAGATGATTATTCGTACTTACACGGTGACGAATACGAAGGTATTTTGCACTCGGCGGTTGCTCGGCATATTAAAAACTTAAGAGTGGGCGGTAAGTTGAGGGGTAAATGGACGGAAAATAATACGAGCGTGTTATTCTTTGCGGTTCTTTACGAAATCGACAAAATGCTGTTTGATTCGAGCTTTGAACTGCTAGAATTAGAGGATTTGATATATAGATTTGAAGAATATTGAAGATGATCGATGATCGGTTATATATACTTTCTAGAAGTAAGTTTTTGTTTATTAATAACGTAGATCTCTGTTGTTGAAAAACGCTCGGTTCCGGAGGCGGCGGGTTTGCTCCGGTGGGTCCGACTGTGGAGCTTTTTGTTTTCTTCTGTCTTGAATTTTTTATTGGTCATTTACAGTTTTTTTTTTTTTTTGTCTTGCAAATTTTCGTTTTGTTTTTGGTATTATTATTGATAATAAATCTAAATTTTCGAAAAAATCCGAACTTGGAGATTATATTGTACAAACATGTATGTATCGAAACACGTTGTAACTAGTTTAAGACGCTCAATCAAGTATCCATGTCATCTTGCAATAAAATCTCGTATATATCTGTCCTCAGATTAAGTTCCTTTTCACGCATCACTTCTTGAAGGTCCGATAATTCTTTCACGGTCAGTACAGAATCGAGCTTCAGAAAACCATCAAGCCACAGCTTTTTAGACCTGTGGAAATTCGAAAAAGAAAAAAATTATAAAAAAAAAAAAAAAATCATACGTCGGATCAATGTATAGATAAAAAATCTGAGAAATAATATTTATCGATAAATACTCTCAATTTCCGAGTGTTGATGCTTAATGGTAAAAGTAAAATAGGAATAGGAACACTGATTGACAACTGGGAAATTAGTAACCAACGAATAATATTACTTTTATATCGAAGAAATAATTACCAGGGACAAGCGTGTATTGCACGAAAGAACACTCTTTTAGCTGCAGAAGCATTGCACGTTACGCTCCTCTCGTATACAATGAAACAACGCCACAGAATCACCGAGTTGTGCAATTTGTCATTCTCCAGCGCCCTCTCGAAAAGTCCACGTATTCTGTGGTGGGACCACCGATACTCATCTCGAATGACAACGCGTAGAGCCATGTAATGACGGATTGCGTCCTGATAATCCGAAAGTTGGATTAGAAATTTACGTATCGAACAATGATAGGAGAAAGATGACGAGTAATATACTTAAAAAAAAAAAAAAAAAAAAAAAAAAAAAAAAAAGAATTATGCGTTTTACTTTTGGCAGTGGTCGTCGAACGTCCAGCGCAGTTTGTTGGGGGAAGTGTAAAGAAAGCTGATTTCGACTAAAGCATTGTGCAGATGTGGACTGAAAGGATAAATCTGCAACCCTTTCACGAGAGCTTTCCATATTTTAGAAATGCGAAGTTCGTTGTGATGTTTATAAAGCATCCTCACGTAATAGTTGAACAAAAATTCAAGTTGTCGACTGTGCCTCCGCCTCTCTGCAGTTAATCTTATAATTAGAAAATAAAAGAGTTTAATATTTAGTTCAGTATATTCATGGAAAGCTGATTGACCTGGAAGAACCATCGTGAAAGAATGTTCGAGAATTTCCAAGGCAGAAGTCCATCCAGTAGTCAACTCCTCGAACAAAGCAGCACAACACACGAGAGCAGCAGAATGATCATCTACCATACCTCGTGCCCACGTTGAGCTTAGCATTTTTATACGCTCTTTGAACCCCTGACGAGCTTTAAGAAGTTGTACACTTGACAGCTGGCATTTAAATGGACTATATCTTGTCCCACTGCCTAAGCAAGATAGAATATGCGTTGCTCGGGACGAAGAGTCAGAACTTTCGGATGGATTATTGGCAAGCTCCACTTCCGCATACCAGAAATACAAAAGAGATGCATTGGGCCGAACATCCTGCTTATTTAAGTTAAAAATAAGTATATATTCATACTTCGGGCTTCTTTAAACAAGGACTATTAAATTAATTAATCAGAGTATGTAATACCAAAAAAGTGGAAACAAATCAAAATAATCGTACCAGTGGAAGTCCTTCAATAGATGACAAGGCCATGTCAAAAACTCTTCTGGAAAGATCAATATTCCCGAAGAAGGCTTCTCTTTGTGCATAAACTCCACATAGCAGTAAATCCTATAACAAAAATGAAGCACAAACGGGCTATTGAAGCATCAAATGATATAAACATGATAGGATGATAGATCTTTCTATTTCTCGTGAATATCTTGAAATTACAGAACATGATAGGAATATGCATAAGTTGGAAACTGTAAGTACCAGGGATATAGCACATGCAAAAGCACAAAATAATCTTCCACTTGGCACTTTACTGACGTGTCCTAGATACATATCAAAATTTTCACACAACTACATTGCAGCTCATGTCATGTGCATATAGACCATTTAATCTGAAAACCTTGTTAATATACGTAATGGAAGATTTCTGGAAGAAGAGTTGTTGTAATTAGACAAACGTAAGATTAAGGAGTATGTGAGATGATGGATTATATTATTCTCAGATCTGGATACTGGTCAGTGTACTGTAATAAGTGAAGGAATTGTTCTCGTATATCAAAGTCAAGTCACACAGATAACACGTACCTGCCTATTATTTTTCAATAGAGTCTTGGCCAAAGCTCGACAAGGGGTCACGGAAAAGCTTGTTGAATTCATCCTCGTGTTTGATAGCTCTTCAGCAACAAGAGCAGCTTCCTCCAAGATGTAGTTTTGCGGAAACGCTTTTAAACAAAGTAAGATAGCATTTCGGAGAAATTTCATCATATTACTCCTCATATTTGAGTCATCTGAATTGTTCAAAAGAATCTCCAAGCTGATACTCGCAGGATTGGACAGCTGTCCATTTAGGACATCGTGCACCTTGCTCAAGCCCTCTACGAGAGAATAAGAAAGACTCTCCAAACTAAGTGTCTTCTCAACCCAACTCGAACTGTTTGTGCAAGTCCTGTAATCACGAAACGTATTGCAGTAATCAGGAAATGAAGAGAAACAGCAGTACTATATATTCCAAAAATCCCCACAAAATCAAGAGAATGCATAAAATTTGAACTACAATCACGGTTTACTAGAACAGATTTTTACATGTTTTAATGTAAGAATATGCTAAAATGGTCACCAACTAACAAGACATTCTAGGGAGGTTAAGAAGCTCATCTTTTCCTTATTTATATTTGATTACATATATAGGTTGCTGATTTCAGTTTAGAAGATATATGACTGCAGTTATATGAAGAAGAAGGTTAAACAAACAGGAACACAAAACACAATTCACAATGTCATGACACCTACCATTGAGGTATCCTCCCTTCATAGAAATCTATAAATTGGGATGCAAGAGAAAAACGGGCTTCCACGGAATTCAACGAGAACAGATAATCACTAACATCTTCATACAATATGATGCTCAAAAGCTGCTCATCATCTTCTGCATCAGCCGTGGCATCATCACGAGAAACCCCATCTGTTTTGCCAATTTAGAAAAGTCATTTCCACCAGTAAATAATAAATAAAAAAAGCCTCTGAGTCACATAAGAAAGAAGAATGGGGACGAAAGAAACAGAGAGGACTCACAAACACAGTAAGAATATAAATGAAGACTAACCAGAATTTCGACGAAGAGGCATCCAGTGATCAAAGTCTCTGGCCATTTCTGCCTCTGACCACTTGGTCCATGTTTTTGTATCTTGGATCTTGATATCACCTTCAGAAGCAGCATCGATCCCTAGTGCTTTAAGAAGAGATTCGATATCATCCTTTTCCTCAGCATCTTTTGCATCAGATCCATCATCGAGTTCTTCAACGACTGCATCTCCCTCAGTAGCACTTTCTGGCATCTCAATTTCGTTAGTTTTGGATAATGGTTCAAACCAACCTGTCCAGCCACCTTCTTCAACTACGTTTGAGGCCTCCTCGTGTAACAGTCTCTGCCGCTCTTCCTCCTCTTTCTCTAGCCAAGAAGACCAACCAAGGGCTCCGTCTTCCCCAATTCTGGCACCGTTACTGCTCCAAAAGTGCTCAAACAGTCTTCGCTTGCTATGCTCAGAATGAACCAAGGGAGGAAACAAACTGTATTCAATCTCTGCCTGAAATAAAGCCGTGGCTAACTCCTGATAACCTGCTTGCCACTCAAGGCGGCAAAGAGCAAGAAAAACGTCAACCAAACCAAGTTCTAACTGAACAGTGGCAGGATTAACAGGAGTTGCATTGCCAGATGGATCAGCCTGCACCCAGCATGAACAGGAGTTGGATCAACATTTTAGAAGCGTTAACAAATGTGGAAAAAATAATTCCTTAATGTAATGCGAAATGACTAAAAATGAAGATATGTTAGTTTTGCGAATTTATCATGCGTACTAATATTTAGATTAAGAGAAGACGAGAAATTTAACGCGTAAGAGAACCTATCCTAGAATAAAAACGAGCAATGAATAAAGACACTTATCAGTTCCAATAACAAAATACAAGTATAAACCTCAAGATTTGTTTTCCTCGTCGGGGTCTGTGCGTGTGATAAAAGTCTATCTATTCAAGCAAAAGGAAGAAAAAATATGGATCATTAAAGTGAGAACCTGCCTATGCTGCTTTATGCAAGCACCAGCTAAGGCTTGGATTGCGTTGGCATACATTTTCCTCAACTCAGAAACCTTGAATCTGGAAAATTCACCCTGAACTACCCGCAAAAATTGTTTCCACAGCGTGTAACTCCCGGAATTGGATGTGAGTATCTTCTCCCATCTCCTAATCAAAACGTCAATGCTATCTCTGCTCTGATAAGCTTTCATAAGAGCAAGAAGCAAATCTTCACTATCCGGGTTAAGCTCAGTCGCCTTCTCAAGAATACTTATCTTCTTCTCAAGAGTCTGCAAACGAGCGCCTTTATGAGGCTGCATACTAGCCACCTTATCTTGAAACTCCGCAAATGCCAGCCATGCACTCTCATCTTGAGGGCGTTCCCTTGTCGTCTTATTAAAATCTTTTGTTTTCCGTAGTACTTTATCTTCCCAAGACTCTTCAACTACTGCAACACTAGAAACTGGTCCACTATCGGAAATTTCATCCAGTAAGGGGATGTAATCAGCAACCACGTTTCTTGCACCATTGCTAGGAGCATGGATTTGCAATCGTTTCAAGTTCTTATGACGCTCGATAGCAGCGTACTTTGCAGACCAATAGCGCCCGCCTGACCTAAGATTGGTATCTAACGCATCAATGTCATTATCCCCCTCCAAACGACCCACTCTCTTATTCCACCGAAAATATTTCTGTTCGGAAACTTTCTTGGAACTGTAAAGCTTGTAACGAGCAACATCCATTCTGCATTTTAAAAGAGTAACCAGACTTTAAATTCAATATACAACATCCGATTTCATTTTTCATTGTCGTAATCAAACGCCTCATCTACCCACATATGAATGATCACGTGTTAACACTAACCCATCAGAATAACTACACAAAGCAAGAGCAGAAAATATGCCTAATTTATTCAACGTATGTCGTAATCAACAACACATAATTTTACATATGAAAGGTAACCGAGTCCGATTTTGACGAGTAATTAATGTGGATACACCGATACAGAGAACAAGCTTCAATTAATAATGAAACATCAAACAATTTCCATGAAAAATGCATTAAACATTAGAAAGCCGAAAATCGAGAGGAAAAAAATAGTTCAATTGACCTGTAGATGCAACCGAAGGCTAGATTATCTCGATCTCCACGAGAATCAAAGTAGTAATTCTTCTCATTTGAAGTAGAAGAAGCCCATTTCGAAACGCCCTGTTTCCTCGAAGAAGATGATAGAGTGGCGGCATACGCATACGATGCGCCGGGCTCCTCCTTTTTTCTCCTTTTCTTCTTCCTTGTATTTTTCATCCTACGCTCTTCGTCGGAGGACGGGTTGCCATCGGATGGAACCCTCTCGTACTGCGGCGGCAGTTTGCTTTTACGAACCTCTTCCACTTCATCTTCTTCTTCCTCCTCGTCATCGGGGAGGTTGTATTTCGATACGGCGTCGTTTATCACCGACGGGTCGATTGTGAAGCTGGAGTTGCTCAGCCATTTACCAGAGGCGGCGGCGCTATTGTCGGAGCCGGAAGGGAAAATTTGAGGCGGTGGGTGTTGGACGAAAGCGGGGAAAAGCGACGTCGTTCCGGTAGGTTGCTCCTCCTCTTCCTCCATGCTGTAACAGAGAAATATAATTGAACTCCTTTTCTGCTGTATTTTTATATATATTTTTTTATTTATGAAAATGCCTCATATATTTAACTAATTGCTCATTTTGACCCTATAACTTTTTCTTTAAATCAACTTCCAAAATTTTACTAAATTACTCTGTTTATTTATTTACAGATAGTCTAGACATTTCACAAATTTTGTTTAGAATATTTTTAATTTTATTTTTTTAAACAAAATATAATTTATAGAATTATAAATATAAGGGTAAATTACACTCACAACCGTAAGGTATGCTAAAATAACTTTAAAACCCCTATAGTCTCGGTAATTACAATCACACCAAAAACATTGTTAGAAACACTCTTGAATCCTTATTATTTTATATAAGATGTATAAATTTTCGTCTAATGATAGCATTAACGGCCACGCGGGAAACAAATATAGTGCGTGTATATATGTCCCCAGGACATGAAATCTTGGCTCCGGCAATTGTTCCAAGGGTGTATCTATAATTACCAAAACCACAAGGACCTTAAAGTTGTTTTAGCATACCTCAGGGGTGTAGATGTAATTTACCCTAATTATAATTTATAGAAACTATTACATATTACAAAAATAATAACAAAGTCCTGCATATAATAAACTAGAAATTATTAAAATGAAGAAGATCCCAAGCCAAACAAAAAATTGGACAAACAACTATTTCCACAAGCTATTAATAACTAAATAGCCTAAAAGAATAATCACACATCATGTACAACAAAAGTGAAGACTTTCCCCCACCAACAAAAATCGAAAAAAAAATTCCTATCGATACATATTTCGCGCAAATATTACATATACCGTTCGTAATAATCAAAATACAACCCGGCAGGTCGGGGAAATTAATATCCGATCCTTTGAAATGTGGAGGCGCTTGAATATTACAACCCCACTGATGAAAGATCAATCTGCAAATCATATGGGCCGGCAAATAACGGTGTGGGTAGTTATCCTCCGTTTCTATGCAACGGTGCATCCGACCAATGAGCAAAATCCATTTTTTTTTCTTTTTTTTTAGGAAGAGATCGGTTCGTAAGGGTATTGTAGCCAAGGGTGTTTTAGAGCCTCTGATGCAGAAGGCCTTTTTGAAGGGTTGACTTCGAGAAGATGACTGACAAAGTCAATGAAACCTTGGTCTCCCATTGGCAACCGATGTCGTAAGGATGACTTTTTCGGTATCAAATATTCCAATCTGTTAGTATCCTGAAGAATCGAGACGAGATTAAATATATGTCACATGCTAAAAAACTGATCAAACAAGTAAAAAATGTAGGGCAAATTACGGCCACCCCCTAGGTATGGCCAAATTACGAAAAAAAACCCTCTTGTTTGGGTAATTACAGCCACACCCATCCTTTTAAATATTTTTACATAAAATTTATGTAATTTGATTATTTACCGAACCAAATCGTATATTCAGTTCTGTAAACGGTATGAAATGTTGCAATACTGAAATTTCGGTTCGGTTTTACCAATTTAACATCCCTAAACTTACCTCTGGAGGGGTATTTTCGTAAGATAATACATAGTTGAGGGGGTGGCTGTAATTACCCAAACAGGAGGGGGGTTTTCGTATAGTGAAATTATTTGAAGGGTACCTGATTCCTTTCATAGAGCATGTGATTTTTGGTGAAGTATTTGTATGTATCTCGTCCCTTCGCAAGCATCTCTTGCTCAATAGAGCCTATGATTCCAATTACTCGAGCAAGCAAAGTTGCCGGAGAATCATTTTGAAACAGCACCTATTCAGACAACACATTACTTTACTTTATTTTGGAGTTCCAAGACGTAATAAAACAGACGAAGACGAGAACTATGAACTGCAAAACTTACGTTGCCTGTGCAGAGTTCAGCCAAAATGCAACCAAGGGACCAAATATCAATCTTTTTGCCGTACGGAAGTCCCAAAATAACCTCTGGTGCTCGGTACGAACGAGACTGAACATACGAACAAAGATGATCGGTTTCGAAACAACTACTTCCAAGATCAATAACCTTCACCTCACATCTACTGTAACTTTTCACCAATATATTCTCTGGCTTCAAGTCGCAATGTATGAGGCCAAGCGTATGTAAGAATTGAAGTGCTTCCAAGCACTGAATAGTAATTGACTGCACGATTAAAATCCTAGTCAGCAACTTTGACTGTACTGTAATAAGCAAGCAAACGGCAGATTTGTGCCACAAACCTGAAGTCTTGGCATCGTGAAGTAGACTTCTCCCCCAGATTCTCTGTTAAATTTATGGAACTCGTACAGGTTTGCTTTAAGCAATTCACAAACGATCAATAAATGCTCCTGCATATATAAATAAGAGTCAATAATAACCCAAATTTTACACACCAAACAATGAGCCGACAGTTTCGGACAAGCAAAATACATCCAAAGATATATCTATCTAATCTATTAGTATCTACCTAGGAAGTAGGAAAGACGAGCAACGATCACGCCACCTGAATTTCAAAATTTTGCGAAAATATGCAATTATTTTACATGTTAATTAGTGGATATTGTTCCTATTTCAATCAGATTATTAGATATAACGGGGTTCTGAACCAATGCAGCAGGCACTCGAATCAATGTTCAACTGTTTAATCACTATTGCTTAGAAATCTAGAAACTCGGGAAGAGATTCAGGGACTCGAGAAGAAATTACAATCACACGAATAGAAAGAAAGACGAAGTAGTAACCCAAGCCCCTGAATATGGTTTATATCTACACACTTAAAAAGGACAAGGAAGAATAATATAGTACGTTTGAACTGTTTTCTTACCACCAGTGATTTAATGCTAATAAATACAGATAAAGAGAAGAACTCCACAATAAAATGATATTGATGCAAAGAAATGTTCACTTACTCGATAATAGAAGTAATCATACAACCGAAGCAGATGATACTTGTCAGCAGGATCATGTTTGTTCACATACTTGAGCAGCTTTATTTCGTCGAGGCTCTGATCGAAAAAATCCTTATTGTTCTTTATAATCTTCACACAAACATCCATGCCAGTGTGCAGGTCATGTGCCTGAATAGCTTTGCTGAATGCGGCTGATCCAAGATACTCAGTAACATGATAGCGTCCGGCTATTACCGAATTTAAAACAACATGAAAATTTTTATCCTCCTCAAAGCCAGTCCTAAACAACAAACAGAAGCACGAGTTAAGGAACTTGCCCCTAATAAAACAGTTAGGTTTAGTAAAATGAAAAGAGGTTTCTCGAGTATCATAATTTGAAAATTAAGAGAGAAATCCATACACCTGGTGGATAAATGAATCATGTAACAATAGTTCTAAAGCATATGCAGGCACTTGAACGAGGTAAAATCGTCAACTTGTCCATTTGGTATACATATATGGTGATGTAAATCTCAAAATTTAAGAGTAAGATATTAAAAATAAATAAAAATTAAAAGCATCATGGATTCCTAAATCAATATACAGTACAAAACATTTTTCAGTATTACAATAAAAATCCATTAAAGCAAAAGGGTCAAATATAACTTAGACTTGTGCTACAATAATAAAATTGTCAAACCAAACCAGCACAATTCATAGAACTATATGATCAAAATATGGAAATTTTGCATGCCTGTTTTTCCGGTGGACAATCTTCAAATCAAAGGTTTCAAATTCCTCCTCTTGTGCTTTGATTTGCTTCACTTGCTCTTGCACAGCAGCAGCTTCCTCGTCCTCCAATGATACCTCAGGTTCCTCTTCTCTTATACCAGTTGTACTTACATCCTCTTCTTTCTTTACACGTTCCCTATCAATGTAACCATAGTTCGAAAGAGACGAGGGACTCGAATTTGCCGACTCCCCGTCATTAGCATTGTCTTCGCCCCTTGGACTCTTAACCGGTGAAGAGTCATTGCTTTTGCGCCTCCACGGTGCAAGCATGTCTTGATTAGACACACCACAATCATCAACTTTATCACTCGACGTAGTGTTGACTGGATTTGACCACAAGGGTTTACCCGAGCTTGTTTGCACCAGCTGCCCATCTCTCGGAGGAGGAAATGAGAATACTCCATCCATGCGATTCGTTGCCGCTGAATATGCACCCTTATCGTTACTCATTATATACTTATCAGAATTATGTCTCTTTATTTCATTTTTTTTGTCTTTCTTGAATTGTTCAGTAGCATTCTTATCCATGCCATGCTGTAAATTTCTAATATCATGATCATGAAAGTACTCGATGTCCCCTTCACTATTACCTCCTATCAAACTTTCCGGCACTTCACTACCAATATCAGCAGCATCGCTGTTAATTCCAACGCCAATAGATCTAACCGAACCTTGTTGATTATCATCCATGCAGATATCATCTGGGTGAGGTATTCCACGGTCCCTCATAACCTTTCCATCCCCGAGCATAATGAGTTCATTCGTCTGTGTAACGAAGCCCTGCCAAACGGGTTCTGCACGCATAAAGTTCAGCTCCTCTTCATCCATCAACTGTCCGTCATATTGATCAATCAGGTCATTGTCTCCGTTTCTCCTGTACATTTCAGTATTGGACAACCCCACAGGACCGTCTGACGATATTACAGCGTCAATGTTTTTGGACTCGAAATACCTCCCCCCAGAGAAGTAAGAATCCTCCTCCGCAAATGACTGATCATCTTCGTCGTTTTTGTTCTGTCCACTTTCTTGAGGGTCTGGAACACTACTCCCATGCCCTGTCCCCTTTTCATTGTCACTCGGGTAATCAACTTCATGAGCCAGAAACCAGGTCTCGTCTTCAATGGGTTGTCTCGTGTAGCCAACATCGTCATCATCTTCATATTCATCAGAATCCCAGTATTCATTTGGGTACCCAATGGATTCACTCAACCCATCGCCTATAGTTGCAAAACCAGAAACCAGATCAGAAGTATCTTCAGCAATACCCTGACTTACAGAGAGCCAACTTCCTCCACCTAGCTTTTTCCCTATGAATCATCATCGTGAAAAATAACAATCAATTAAACAGCTAAGGAGCAAGGTCAGAAGAACAACAAAGTGTCATAAAAACCAATATTCAGATAATAGGCAGTATGATACGAACGGAAAACCATATTTAATACAGCAGGCAAAGCAGAAAATATGCTAAAAGAGTATGCCACTTCTTCAATCATATGGGTGTTTAAGGAAGGGATAGGAAAGACGAAGTTTTCAAAAACACAAGGAAGATAAACACAAATTGGAAAGTGAAGAAAAATCCGAGAAAATTTATCTCTTTGCTTAGTCCATTTTTCCTTCTATACCACGAAACCAGTGAAGAGGAAAATATTGCAACCTTTACTACTCTAGACATAGTAAGCTAGTGCCTACACGGCACATTGATCAATCAATAGATGACCGTAGAAATTGTAACATTTCGATAAATATTTGGACGAAACTAATGGAGTTGCATCTTTAGCTTTGTGCATAGATTTCTCACAAATTGGAATCAATGTACAAATAATGGACTGAAACTCAGTTTAAGCATCACCCCACCAGTGAAATTATAGTGGATTGCTCTTCATTCAACAATATTAGTATAAAACAGTGTATTCTTCTTATGATTCAGAGATAATTTATGCAACTGCAAGTTCTCTTATAAGTTGTAGCAGATACTAACAGAAAACGCAATATCGGTACGACATTATAAGTTTTCAGGCAAACCTGAAGAATTAATTTCTTGGCCAATAGGTACATCCAGAAATGAACCTATAAGATAAGCATTGTCAACACTCAAGATCTTCGGACCAGGGCCATCGCGTTCATATTTCTCCTCCCAGTGAATATTGAAAGACTTGTCTTCTGACTTAAGTCTCACAGGCGCTAGTCTTGGTAACTCTTCCTTCTGGTTCTCCGATGCAAGACGAAATTCTAACGCACCAAAATCTTTCAGCTCGCTCCCCTGAGTCTTCCCGAAGAAAAGTGCTCTCCCCACCTCATCCACTTGCTCCTTTATTGCTGCTCTAATGTTATTTGTTTCTGCTTTCTTTTTCCCCTCCTTTTTATCGACAACAGCAACAGCACTATCATAGCTGGTACAAGTGTCCCCGACTGAGAAGGGGAAAACAGTTTTGACTCGACACTCTTTCCAAAGCTCTGAAGATGGACTGGCAGATACATCACTTATTGACCAGGCCTTATCAAGAACCTCATCCTTGGACCATGAACTGCTTTGCATTCTTTCTTGATCGACTTCTTTATGCTCAATCTTCGATTCTGTACTAGTATTACTAAGACTACCAGGCCAAGACATTCTCTTTTCACCAGAAAAACTAGCATGCTGCCCCGATTTCAGATTAACCTTACCACTATCAAGATTCTCAGCTGAATGCAACCCCGCTTTCACGGGAACCTGAAATCCCAAGAAATTGTTTTCGACAGTACTGCCAACATCATTCTGATAAGAAGTAACTGGACCATTGTTCCCATATTTCCATGAATAAAGATCAAGTACAGAATCATCTAAACCCTTGGAAAAGGAGAAGTTCTTATCGCTCGTTCCAACAGTTTCACTATTGAGCTTGCTCTGTTCCACAATAGCACAGCTCTCCCACTTTGTCAAATCGGACCCATTTCGTTCTGCTCCACACTCTACTTCTTTCACAATTAGCTCCTTAGACGCCTCGGCACTACTGGGGGTCGACGAATCCTTAAGACTATGCCTAGTACTTTTTATCTTTCTATCTTCTTCCGCTACACAGCCCCCATTCACTTCTTCGCTTGATCTATTGCCAGACTCCTTATCGTCAATCGTAAGCTTTTGAAGAATCCCGTTTAAGTCGGGTCTGTTACCCAATTCACTTTTCAACGCAGTCTCTGCTTTGGTAAATTTGTTCCTTCTCAGGAATTCCAAAATAACATCCACATGACTTGAATCAGCCATTTATAACAGACACCGACGCACTACGAAAATCCAAGTACTAGAAACGCCACTCAAGCAAACCTGGAAAACGACAGAAACGAAAAACGGGAGCAGAAAACATACATCATTCTAGATCATATTAGAACATCACTTCAAACTCTAACTAGCTATCACAATCTACACAGTGACAAAAAGAAATTAAAAAAAAAAAAAAAAAAATACATTTTCCTTGTTTTATGACAGCCAATCAACCATTGTGCAATAAGCAAAGGAAATACAGTTCTGAAACAGAACCAAAACTATATATACTTCTCCGAAGCAGAGCAAAAAGGTAGATTCAGGAAAAAAAAAAAAAAAAAAAAAAAAAGGTTAAAACTTGACTTCATGGATCCCAATTAAAAGAATTAAATCATTAATCACAACATCTAACAAAACGCACATTTTTTTTTTCTCGGATTCAACATAAAACCACAACGAGATTTCATAAAGATCTGCGCTTTAACGAAACCCTAAAACGCACGAACACTTCTCAAAATGCGAATGATTAGATGGAAAAAAGGGGGGGGGAAATCCGGAATTATAAGATTAAAAATGAGTGAGAAAAAAAAGCTTACAGATCGAAGCGCATGATATTTGAGAAGCCAAACACGGTGCTGCTGAATCCATAGCCCAAAGCTTAAAGAAATCTGAAACACTTCTTCACTTTTGCGAGTAAACTAAAAAACTTACTATCAATTAAAAGAAAATTAAATAAATATGAAAAATGAATTATAGTTTTTTTATTTTATTCTTTTTTTGGGTATCTTTCTTAGGGAGCTTTACGAATATATCGGTCAGAAATTAATTGTTTTTTTTCTTTTATTAAATTAAAATATATTATTACACAGGCCTGCAATTTTTCAGGCCATGGATTTTGATTGGATAAATAAAGATTATTTTTTAGATATGTACTATCTAAATATTTTGCTATAATAATATTTTTATTTTTTTTCTGGAAATATGTATTAATTTTTTTTTTCTGGAAATATAATATATTAATAATATGTGTGTCAGTGTGTGTGTGAGAGAGAGAGAGGGGGAACATCCAACTGTGAGATGGGTACCATTAGCAAATGGAATTATAAGTAGCACATGAAAATAAATGAAATAGGTTAGTTAGTATTAAATGTTATGTGACAAATTAATGGGATTTTTTTATATTAATGCAACATATATTCCAATTTAAATTTGCTAAAAAAAGGAAGGCCTATTTATTTGGGAACTTTACTATTTTATATGTATATGTACTATTTTACGGTAAATTACAGCGACCCCCTGAAGGTAGGGTCAAATTACGAAAAGACACCTCATGTTTGGGTAATTACAACCACTCTTTAACTATGAATTTTCTTACACGTCCACTCTTACGGTGTCAAATTTAGTGGGATATTCTAGATTATGTGGAATATTCTTCAGTTCGTACTTGTTTTATCTCATTCGCGCTCCATATTTTGAAACAAAATGATCATAAGATGTTTCTCTTCGCTAGTAAATATCGATTGTGGTCCATCAGAAACTGAATTTTTGCACAAAACGAGTACAATCCATGGAATATTCCACATAATCTAGATGATTATGTTGAAAAGCGCTCTTTCGGGTGAGTGAGTCACGTGCGTTCAAGTGAAAACAAGAGAAAGCAACTCGACTGTTCGTTTCCGCTCCGAAGATGACCGGCAAACAAATAGAATAAGGGATAATCCGTCCGTTTCAAAGGTAGCTCATTCCTCCAGTCAGTAGCCAATTCGTTGACAATGGCAAACCGAGTTTCCAGGTAGTGGTGCCTCTTGACACCATAAAAGTGGACGTGTAAGAATATTGATTGTACTTATCCAAACATGAGGGGGGTTTTCTGTAATTTGGTATTAAGTGGCCATAATTTACACATTATTTTATTTTGATGCGGGTATTTAATGGGTACTATATAATATTCCAATAGGGTCATTTATTCATGATATTTAATAGAAATTGCATTAATTGTAGTTTGAATTGACAATAATATGTTTTGGCATAATCATTAGCCAATTCCGAAGCTAACAACTAATTTATATTTCTTCAATAATATATCAATTGTTGAGAATGTCAATTGTTGTGCAAATGTATTATGTATATATCCTTTTTTTATTAAAGAAATAATAAAAATGTCTCATCCTCGGTTAATACTAAAATATTTATATATAATTTGTAAGAAAATGAATAAATTGGAGAGAGAGAGAGAGAGAGAGAGAGAGAGAGAGAGAGAGAGAGAGAGAGAGAGAGAGAGAGAGAGAGAGAGAGAGAGAGAGATTTGTAAAAGCCCATTAAGAAGGTCCATTAATAACATTGAGACCATTGGGCCCCACTAGTTTTTGAAGACTTTGGGTTGAATTTTAATCGCTCTAAACTAATTGTATGCAAATAAAGTAAGAAAGGAATTATATGCAAATTTAAAAA